TTCCTCCTCCTGTTTAGGTCCATATACTTCGCTTTACATCCTCACTTTAAATTTCCGCGCAAAGGGCGTATGGAGCTAGATTGACTTTCATAGTTTTATATCACTAACACTTGTCTCTTCAGCAGTTTGATGTTGTATCCAGATATGCAGTTGAGACATATAAGGGAGATTAGGATTCAAATGAATAATAGTTAAATTTTCAGCTAATTGTACACACTCAAGGTCCAACGTTGCTCTCAAAGCCTGGCCTCAAGGGTCATAATGACCCATAGACATAAAACATCGCTGCCTTGCGGATAGTCCCGTTCCCGACAAGATCCATCCATCGCATTTCCCCCTTTTACCAATCGCCGCGTACAGAGCCCTCCCTAACCTACATCCCTTCCTCCATAAATTGAAATCCAAATTTGATTAAATCTTCGACGCCCTCCTCCCCCTATACGCCAGCGCAAAAACAACCAACCCATACGTAGCCAACACGCTCAGACACATTGGTACAGGCTTTCTCGTCTTAAGGGCTCTGGGAAATGAACTTCCTGCCAGCACTGTCGAGGCAATCAGCCCCAGCTCCTCACCAAAGGGCTGTTCGCCGCGTAGACGGAAGCAGCTGAGGGCATAGAGCGCACCCACGGAGAGACCGGCAGCGATAGAGGGGATGGAGCCGGTGCGTGTGTAGCCGGCGATACCGCCGCAGGATGTCAGCAGGGAGAGGGCGGCGGCGGAGTAGGCGGAATTTTGGAAGGACTGCAGTTTTTGGGATTAGTGTTTGTGAAAGGGTGAAAAAGAGGAGTGTTATAGAAAAGCGGAGGTTTACGATGTAGGAAATATGAGTGAAGTGGGGTAGATAGGGTGGAAGCAAAGCAATGAAGTGGGTCTTTCCACACGCACCATTTGTTACAGATATGTGTTATCAGTCTATATAGACTCAAGCCAGGTTCTTACAGTAACTAGATACTCGATGCGGGTTGTCGTGATAAATTGTCCCAACTCAAAAAGCAGAACCCAAGAACTAAGTTAACTAATCCACCAAAGCTTACGTGATCTCGAGTCATGTGATATTCGACCACCCCCAATGAACTGCAACATGTTGAAATACCTGGGGATAATATATATATGTATTATTGATGATGCGCAACTTGGAGGAGGAAAACCCCATTGCGTGCTTGTATGCCACGACCAAGAGAATGATTTGATACGAAGGGCATCTCCGGCCAATTTACACCTCTTTATTCACCCGATATTCATTTTATTCATCGCAACCCGCCGCAATGTCTCCCAAACGCCGTGTTGCTTCAAACTCCGCAGCTTCGCAAGCTCAACCGGCTCCTACACCCGCAAAAACATCTCCCAGAACAGCACCTATGACTAGTCATGCTTCAAAAACCTCTTTGTCACCCAATTCATCTGCCCAAGAAATTGTCGTCGGCATCTGGCAGCGGTATCTATCACAAACGCCCAAGAGAACCCTCCAGCTCGACGCATTCATGGCATTTCTGGTTCTTGTAGGAGCCGTGCAATTTGTCTATTGCCTGCTGGCGGGGAATTATGTATGCTTCATTTTCTTCGCAATCAAACGCTTAAAAAAGGTCCAGGTTTTTGCTGACGTACGTTATATAGCCGTTCAATGCGTTTCTAGGCGGCTTCTCTGCTGCCGTTGGGCAATTTGTCCTCACGGCCAGTTTGAGGATGCAGACGAGCCACCAGGGCGGAAGGGATGGGAAGGCCACATCTACGTCGAACACTGTGTCGCCACCGACGGATGGACATCTACTGTCGAATGGAACGTCGAGCGAAAGGTTCGTGGCTCTACATGGTTTCATCGGGGGCTTCTACTTAGGAACCTCCTATTCCACCCCTTCATTTATTATCACAACAAAAATTCTGCATCCTAAAAGCACCATGCGCAACTGCAACTAACATGTCATATTGTTGTAGGGCATTTGCGGACTATGTCTTTGGCAGTTTGATATTGCATTTCTTCTGCATCAACTTTATCAACTGAGCTGGTTCTTTCCTCTCTCTCTTCACTCTATTATCATCTTGCTGCATATGTTTCAAAAGTTAACGTCACGATGTAGACAGAAAATTCTATCAAAAGATGACACCATTTCTATGTTCTTCGTTAAGTTATCGTGGTCGCCTCTTTTTAGGAAAAATTTTCCTTCTGGAAGCCATCGGAATTGCACTGGTAACAGCTGTACCAGGAATATCCCAAGGTTTTCAAAATGGACAGAACATTTTTGCTGTATCATGTCGTGCTGTGGGAGATAATAACTTTAAACAGAATAATCACCATCTATTTCATTCTTGCCAAATACTTTTGCTGCGATTGCCTGTTGGACAGCTTAGCTTCTACGGTGCTTCAACGAGTATTTCTAAAGATGTGATAGATTCGGCATATCGTGCCTCCAGATTTTTTGCATATATACAAATGCACACAGGTCTCTACATGTACCATTCTCCAAAAACCACTTTAAATACCACATAAGAGTTCTACGCCAACAATTATATCTAAATGTAGAATGCCATCCCTCAAAATCCTCGCGCCGCCCTCTTCATAACCGGCTTCTTAACCACACTTCCACCACTACCTCCTCCACCAGTAATGGGGGTCCCGGGCTTCCTTACAGCCGTCGCGCCGGCGGCAGGCCTTCTCACAAGAGTTCTCAGACCCACACTTGCAGAACCACCTTCCCTCTCCCGTTTCCTTCGCAAGGAATCTTCTTCGGCCTTTTTCTGCTCTTGTTCAGCCGCCCGTTCGCGGTCAGCAGCCATTTGCGCTTCGATCTCCATTCGTCTGTTGAATTCGTGCTCGGTCACGCGCCGCTCACGAGCTGAGTAGCCTTTTTCTTTTATGGAATAGAACACTCCGCCAAGGTCCGCGAGCCACTGGATTGGGCATTAGGTTAGAATGTGAGTCAACTGGAAAAATTTGGCATGCGGGTTCCGGGGGGCAAAATATTGTGTGAATACAATGAAATTTAAAAATATCGAAAACTTACCCGCGGATCCACAGAGGTAACTGTGGACATGTACTCTTTGCTCGTCAAAATTAACTCGTGATATACCACGTAATCGGGAAGATAACCGAGACCGTACAGCGCGCTTGTGGGATGAAGCTGTACCGTAACGCTGGTGCGGAGGTTGATATATTCCCCAATGCCCTTAACCCTTGCGGCTTGGTGGAAGTACCCAGAACATATACACTTGCGAATAACGTCCCAATCAGTCCCGCAGCTGGTCAAGCTCATTTTCTGCATCTTCATAATGTCATGCAACTGTTCGCGGATCTCCTTGGAGCGGCGCAGTGCCTTGGGATGCAGAAAATGCCTTACGCACCACGTGTCCGAGTAACCGTTCGATTTCCACTGCGTATATACATGGAGCAGTGTCAGGTGGTCCGACTCAGGGACGAAAAATTTCTCCCGCGCAGCGTCCGATTCCTCTTGTCGCTCCTTTGGCCGGTAGAATACACTTGGGACAGAGAGCATTGAGACGATCGTTAACATCTCCTCGCCGCATTCGTACTTCTCCGACGCAGTGATGAGAAGCTTCGCGAGGGACGGGTCCATGGGGAAAGCACTCATGCGGCGGCCCATTGGTGTCAAGTCTCCAAGATTATCAATGGCGCCCAACGCCCAGAGATCAAACAGTGACGTTGTAATTGTGTCCTGTGGCGGTGGGTCCATAAAGTCGAAATCGAGCAGATCTTTGACACCCAGGGATTTCAGCAGCAGTACAGTGTTGGCTAAGTTCGTCCGCTGAATTTCAGGTATAGTTTGCGGGTATAGCTCATTTTTGAAAGCAAGCTCTGTGTATAAGTGGTACGCCTTCCCAGGCCCAGTTCGTCCAGCACGACCAGCACGCTGCGAGGCGTTTGCCTGTGAGATAGGCGTGATTTGGAGGGTGTCCATACCCATTCGTGGATTATACACCTTCAATTTCGAAAATCCAGCGTCGACAACGTACATAATGCCATCAACTGTTAAGCTAGTTTCGGCAATATTTGTGGCAACAATCACTTTCCTAACTCCAGGCGCGGCTTTGTCGAATATCTTAGCTTGAAGATCTGCAGGCATCTGACTGTATATCGGTAGAATGCTAATCTTCGGTGGATCATTCAGAAGAGCCAATCTTTCCGCTATCAATTCACAAGCAACTTCAATATCTTCTTGTCCGGTCATGAAAACGAGGATATCTCCAGGTCCTTGCGAAACATGAATAGCCAAAACCTGTTTCACAGCACTGTCCACATAGTCTTCACACGGCGATCGCGAGTATTGAATGTCCACAGGGAACGTTCGCCCAGAAATGAAAAATTCTGGGGCACCGCCATAGAATTTTGAAAAACGTTCTGCGTTCATGGTGGCTGAGGTGACGATGAGTTTCAAATCCCGCCTGCGTGCAAGGACTTTCTTAATGAGGCCCATCAAAACATCCGTATTCAACGCCCGCTCGTGAGCCTCATCCATTATAATGCAGGAGTATTTGTCCAGGTCCGGTTGCACCAGGGATTCTCTCAACAACACACCATCGGTCATATCTTAAAAGGGTATTCTAGTTAGTCAACATTATTTTCAAAGTAAATGTGTTCCGGGGGTTACATAACACACATTTAATAACCGTTTCCTCACTGGTACAATCCTCAAAACGAATGGCATAGCCAACGAGACCTCCTAGCCTAACGTCCATTTCCTCACTAACCCGCTTCGCGACGCTCATTGCAGCAACACGACGTGGCTGGGTACAGCCGATTAATCCAATTTTCGCATATCCATCCTCATAGAGGAATTGGGTTAACTGAGTAGTTTTTCCGGAACCCGTTTGCCCAACAACGATAACGACTTGGTTATCTCGAATAACCCTCAAAAGTTCCTCCCGGACCGCAAACGCAGGCAGAAACTCCCTCTGCTCCTTCAGCGTCTTGCTCTTACTAAACGCACTAGCCCCCTCACTCTTCTTCATATGTTCCGCAAATTTACTTCCACCTTTATTCTGGCCTTCCTCCTCGCCCGGGATCGGTGCCGCACTATCCCCCTCATCCTCCTTAATGCCCATGAGATTCCCCAACGCCGTGCCCGCCATATTAGTAGCATCCTGCGCTTGCTTCTGCCGTTCCTTCTGCACTCTCTTCTCTCGCACAACCTTACTCCCCTTCCGACTGAACACAGCCATATCACTCTGCGGATCCCGCACGGCAGGAACGGGATCAAGTTGCTTAGTGAAAACCGTCCTTCCATCCAGAAACGGCGGCCGCAAATCATGCACGAGCAAATGTACGCGAGTTGAGTCCTCATCGTCGTCGAAATCAGCATCATAATCCCTCCTCTGCGCCACGCCAGAGGTCAGCATGCGATTCGTTTCCCAGGCATCGACATCCTTCTGTTTCTGCACAGCGCGCGCGCTGATGCGCTTGCTGTTCTTCTTCTCGGATAACGCTACTTCGTGCTGTTGATCTGCCCATGAAGAGTCCGCTCCGCCGAACGGGTTATGCGTCTCGTCACCGAAGGTGTGTCCCAAGTCATCGCCTGCGTACCAGTCTCGATCTAGAGCGAGGGAGTCTTCGATGTCGACAAGCGGTTCTAGGCCTTGGAATGACTCCTGGTGAGGGGTTGAGAATCCATTTCGAATGCTACGGGAAGTGGAGGAGCGACTGGTATTTGTGTGCTTGTCATCTAAGTTGTTACCTTGAAGTCGACTTCGGGGGACATAGATATGCTTGGATGAGGAGCCCAGGTGAGATGGAGCTGCGGCGAAGCGGTCCGTGTCAAGTTTCAGGCGCTTTGGACTATCTTCTCGGGCCATTTTTGTTCAATATATGCTATATGTTTTAGTTGGAAAGAGATTCAAGTCATTATACAATGACTGGATCTGTTGGTTGAAGCTGAAAGCTTCGAGTAGGGTTGATAACAAGAAGTTTGACATGTTTGACATGTTTGCTTTGTTTGCCACCGCTCTCGGACCGAAAGTTTTGCCGAAGTCAACAAGACGCAAGCAACTCTACAATAGATGGGATACAACACTCTCATTTGGTTAATCTTGCAATATTAATGCAGAATACATATACAATGGGAAACAATCCAATAGCAGATGACTGCGCCAGAAAATTGAAGAGAGAGCAAAATTCCGATTGGCAAATGAATTATTAGATTGTATATAGAGAAAAGTATATCAACGGCAAGAATGGGAAAAAGGGAAAACGTGGAGGAAAACACAGCCACGACAAGCATCCAAAACCCATTAAAAGAAAAACGAGGAAAGACAGAGGAGCAAGGGGGATATATGAAAATAAAAATGAAAAAATAAAAAAAAAACCCCATGAAAAAAAGAAAACCATATGAGAAAAGGTAGAAAGAAGAAGCAAAATAAAAAGCAATGTGATCTGAGCTCCCAACCTTCACCAGGCCAAGCTCCTCAAACCAGCTGGTTTCACACAGTCCTCAGTCTCAACAATACCCGGCGGCATAGGAACGCTTGAGCCCGTATCCTCCAATCCTCTGTGACATTTCTTTTTCTGCACTTTCTTCTGTTGCCATTCAACTCAAGGATGAATCGCTTCATCTCAGAGCACCACTATCCTGTATCAACGGGTTTCTTTCTTCAGCAGCGTGAACCCACTTCCCCCAAATACATATCTCAGAAAATTGTACATTGTAACCGACAAATTAGGCTGTAGCAAAAGGAAAAGGAGACAAATGAGACATTAAGAATAGTTGGAGAATCCAGGATATATAAAACTGTCCATCACCAGCATATATGATCGGTTCAAGTCACTCTTACAATCTGTCCGCTCCCTCTTCTTACCTCTCGACCCCTTAATTTTCGCCTGGCCTTTCTCCTCGCAATCCTCGATCTCAATAGCACTTCGTTCGGTCTTGCTCTAGGCACAGGGAGCCGCAGACAGCTACAATTATGCATTGTAGTCAGTTGCAAGCATACTGCGGACCCTGGAAGCGTCTTTGCGAGAGCTAGTAGGTCTCGCCACCGACACCATTGTGTGAAGGGCCCACCATGGTGGAATAGCCGTATGTAGCGCTGCTCTGCTCGTTCGGGTCGAGGTTCGGGCTCAATATGTTGTTGGACCCCTCGGAAGGGACTGAGAAGCCGGAAGACCCCGTTGCGCCTGCATTCCCAGTCCCACCGGGGGCACCGCTGGCTGCACCTCCGACTGGTCCGCCGGAGCCGTACCCGCTGCTCGGTGGCCGGTTCTGGTTCTCCCCCCTTGAGGATTGGGTCTCAAACCAATCAATTCAATTGTTCAGATATTATGTCCTCCCAAGTTGAGGAAAGAAAAATAAACTAGGAAATATATATTGGAAATTGGGAGGAGGGTTAGATAGCTAGGTATCAGCCTATACTCACTTCGCGATATTTTGAAAGATAGATCTTTAGAGCTTCGGAGTAGTTTTCGAATCCGAGTGAGGTCATAGCAAAGAGGATATCTTCCCCATTGACGGTCTTCCTTTTTTCTTGTTGACATTTCTCGGAAGCTGGTAGGTTTTTAAAGGTGTTAGATTTAAATTTCCAGTATCATAACAGTCCACCATGGAGAAGACGCTTTCAGATAACACACCTTCGCTGGTGATAAACGAGATGAACTCGCTCACGCATTCTTGCATGCACTCTTTCGCCTCTTTCGCGATTTTCGCATTTTCCGGGAGGGCGGATTTCATTATTCGAGCAACTAGAGAGTAATTGCGGATGTTAGCATCAAATACTTGGTCATCAGAATGCGTCGCGATGTGTAGCATTTCGGCTGATAAGGTGAGGTGTGAGAGCAATCGGAAGGGGCAGAACGCTAGGCAAAGAGCCGCAGCCAAACAGAGTACGGCGCAGGGCTAGCTAGAAAAAGGCGAATGAAGTGCAAGTCCGGATGCATGTTTAAATCATAAGGCTCCTGCTTGGATGTTTGAGAGAGGAGGATCGGATAGCAAACAACCAACGAGAGGCCATCGGGGGAGAGCAAATAATAACACCACGGAAAAAGAGTGCACAAATCAAAATCAGTCAAAACGGCAAACATGCAAGAACGCGCTTAACGAACCATTTGCAATTGGAAGCCATCGATCCTGCTCTTTCACCTCAAATTCTCCCTGGCCTTGCGCTTGTGTATCTTGGTGTTCCCGTTCCATATGCTCCGCGTCGTCGCCTGACTGAGTTCCTGGGTCCACCTCTGGTTCCTTTGAAGGAGAGGCCGACGACATGATTTTTACGTCTTTTGGGTACGCGCCCCGGATAGCAACTTTGACACGGACGGTTGAACACGTCACTCCCTTTTGGATCCTTGGGATCTGCCGGTCCTATGCAGCCCTGCGTCAACGTACGTCAGACTGGGCAGCTATTCGCTTCACAACAGCCCTGGGCGGAAAACTTAAAGAAACATGGATGTGGAGGGGGGGGGGGGGAGGGTGAAGGCATTCGAGTGGCTACGCCTTTTTCTCGTCCTTTTTTATTTTATCTTGCCGGGGACCTACTGGGTTGATGCTCTTTGGCTAGCCCTCTATTTGCATGTACCGGGACGGCTATATTTCTCTCAAACGCGCTGTGGACGCGCACTGAACAGCAACCCTTTCTTTATGGGCTAGTGATTCAATCGGGTTATGGCCTGGGGGCGAACGATAACATCTAAAACTAAACGGGTTGGGCGGTGACGGGTGGAGGAATGCGGGTCAATTGACTAGGATAAGGGCACTGGTGCTTTGGGGTTGGGCCGATGGTATGGATATCGGCTGCAGCAGCGGAGTTACGCGTTGTGCGACGGTTTGTTGTGGTGCTTCTAATTTATAAACGAGCTGGTTATAAAAGTGTCAAAAGTGCTTCAATAAGACGAAAGACTGCTCGAGGGTTATACAGCTTCTGGTAGGGTGGTGTGGCAACATCAATTGGCCGATTCAACGGATGGGCTTCTTTGTTCAATGCGAACAGGTTTATTCCCAGACAGTAAATGATAGGCAGTGATAGCGTCACTCGCGCGTGTCTCTTCTCTGTTCCTTTTATTTGCTTTTTTTCCGTTTTTGCTTGCTCTATCTCTTCTACTCTCTCTCTCTCTCTCTGCCGCTGTATCCGCCTGTCTGTCTGTCTAGCTTGCGGTGAGACGCGCACCCGCTGCCCTTCAAACGGTGGATAACCTTGGAGCTGGTAAAATCTGGGGAGGTCTTACCTGTAAAGCACACAAAGACAAGCCCAAAGAGATTCGATGGCGAGAAGATGTGGCTGTGGCTGTGACTGTGACTTGATGGTGATGCAGCCGTGAAGGAAATGAATCGTTGGATGTTCAAAGGTGCATTTATTTTGGCTGCAGCAGGAGCAAGAGAAGGCGCATGGGTAACGCCATTTCAATACGGTAACTCTGGCTGGCTGCCAGAACCCGATAATTACGTTGGGTTTTGTAACATGAATACATGTAAGCGCAGAAAAAGCAAACGCGGCGCTTATTTTTATTATTTTACTTGTGGACAAATCAATGCGGTTGTTGTGGGTGTTGATGGGAGCGCATTTATCCGCTCAAAGTTCCTACGCAGCTCTGCATGGAAGCTTTGCGATCCCCAGATGCAGCAAATGACCGATAATTCGCTGTTGTGTTTGGTTTGCGGAGCTGCCGCCTCTCCTCGAATCATCGTGGGTCTACAGTAGACTACATGGGATAGGGCATGTCATCAAACACAGCAATTGGATGAGATTTGCTGGTAAAGGTTCCCGTCGAGCCAGTCAAAACACACCAATCCTCGTCAGTTCCATTAAACCCATCTGTTAGCTGAGGCAATTCTAGTTTCCAAGAGTCGAAATGATTCTTGAAACCCCATGAAAACATCGTCATCGCTGGTGTTTCGGTTGCATTTCTCTAAAACAACGCATGAGAAAGTTCGTCGCCGAAACCAAACTCAGCCTTTTCAGCTGAGCAGTCCCTAAAAGACTAGTAATAAGATGCAGTTATTTCACCAGGGCTACCTTTGGAACTTCCCGGTGCCCATAAGTGGCCCCGTTTTTCATCATCAATAATTGATTAACTAGAACAAGCTCTTGCTGGGGTCACTACTGGGACGTGCCCAACCTACTCACTCCTGCAAGGTGAAATCACTTGGATACTTCCAAGTTCTGGTACAATCATCGAATGCATGGTGAATCCTCAACTGGCCTTGCATTGGCGTGGCTTTCACCACCTTTTCCCTAAATAACTTCCGTTCAAATCCCTGCCCCCGCTCCCCAAAAAGAAGAATTCCAAAAAAATAAAAAATAAAAAAATAAAAAATAAACATTAAAACCTCTCCCCGCGCTTCCACTCATGCCGCAACGCACTTGGAATATCAAATAAACAATTGGGACAAACGCCCCCTCCCTCCCAATCTCAGAACTCCCGACTTTAACGGCACAGGAATAAAAAGCAGCTAATGACAGGGAAAACTTCTCAGCAGGCCGCAGGAGGTGGTCGGATGCCCTGCCAAGATGCCAGCCAATTCATGAGCTCTTGACATATTATCCATGCTGATGGATTATCCTGTCCAGTGCGTGGGCAGTAAACCTCACGCACCCATCGGTACCCAACGAGAGGCTGAGAAAACTGCAAAGGCTCACCAACGCATGCATGATTATTGGGCACCTTATTTTGGGGGGCTAGAATAAATCACCTTAAGTCGGAAATTCCTTGGCTGCGGGGAATGTGAGTGGGTAAACGATGCCAACACAGAGAGAGATGGACGAACTATGGAAGCGTCCTGTCCTTCTTTTGTACGCATATTGTTGTACAGAAAACACATTGACTCTAGATGATAAACTATCTTGGCAGTTGACACGAAATGCATTCTGCAAACGGACAGTTGTGTGCAGAAGTCGCTAAACGTCAAAAATCCTTCCTCTGACTTGTTCACCGACTTTGATAGACGTATTTTTCCCTCGTGACCATTCCAGCACTCTCAATACGTTGTAAATTAGCCATACGCCAGTAGCGCTCTATAATAGGAGAACAGTTCCTGCATGAAGACACAACGTACTCCGTAAATAAATCTATATCATTACCCAATTACCTCGTCGATATGTATATATAGTTACTCCATGCTAATTGACCTCTTTCACCATTCCTCCCCATTCCCACCAGGCTTTTCCATTTTCAAACAACATGGTTAAAACAGAATCGTAAGTTAGGCGCGCGTGCATGCCCTAGTTTCCCAAGAGAATTGGATGCTGGGCCGACACCTGCTCCTTGAGAATTTTAACAGTAAAAGGCGTAAAAGATGAGAAATAAGAAGGAGGATTGATGTGTGTGGGAAAAAAAGGTGTGAACTATTAAAACGAAACAATCTCAATAGTAGACCTTCATCTGAATTGCTAATACTCTCCTGTATGTACTGTACTATAGACAGCTAATAATGCTGGAATTACAACTAAAATATTTTCAAGAAGAGAAATATACGTATACATATGATTTAATTAAATTTTATAACTTAACAATGACAGACCACACCCACCTACACAGAAATGTGCAGACCACGGCACAGGGGACAACAGTGCAAGCCAGCACCCCGAACCGATGGAATGAGTAATTCCTATAAAATTTGTAGGCACAACTCAGCAAAACGGCGTATCCCTTCATCCCCTCTCCCAAGGGAGTCAGGATATGTGCAATACCAGCATAACTGAAGCTCAGCGATGATGATATCCCGTTGTTGTCCATCCCGCCGCAAAGCTGAGTTGGGCCAGTTTTCGCCTCACTGTGATAGGTACGAATAGGGCGTCCCGCCGCAAAATCCTAACTGGGGGCATCCAATGCTGATGCTGATGCTGATGCTGATGCTGCTGTTTCTGCTGTTTCTGTCTCTGCTTCAGCCGACAATAATGCCGTGGATGATCCATATTGGTGGTGATGCTAGAGGGATTGAATAACCTGTAACTCAGAAACGGCCATGAATAGTGTAATCTCCCTTCTCGAAAGCCTCCCCCCGCGCAATCCCTAACCCCATAGAACGTGGAGTCCCACGCCCTCCCTTTACCTTCCTCCCCTCCCAATAAAAGGGATACACCAGCAAAGCCCACGCCCCTATTCCCGCACGACCTGAATGTTATTCTTCTTCTGCAAAGCCCACAAACAGAGCACGAGTCAGACTTCATTCATTCCAAGGTTCTCTTCGCTCCGCACACCCATCATGACCCCCAACCACCACCACCACCACCAACACCAAACAGTTCAACACTAACCTTCCAACTATCCATCTCATCCTGCTTAGCCTTATACTGCTTCAGCAACTCATCCAGCACCTGCTTCAGTCCGTCCGAATTCGTCTTGAGAGATGGTATTACATCCCTAACCGTGCGCTCGACGAGCACGCCATTGATCAGGCGGAAGCATTTGCGATCGCCGGGTAGAGGTTGGAGGCTGTCAATGACGAGTCTGGAGGGGGGAAATATAGATATTCGTGTGAGAAATTTAGGTCCTATGATGGTTCTTGCGGTTGGTGTGGGGGGTTGAGAGGGGATTGAGAGGAGAGTTGGGGTTGGGGTTGGGGTTGGGAAGATTGGTGGGATGTGAGGAAGAAGGCAATGGGGCTGAATAAAGGGGGGGGGAGTGGGGGGGAACGGTGACAAGAAGGGGAGGGAAACCGACTTGTGCTCTTCTGTTTCCTGTTCGATATCACCGATCTTCTGCGCGAGTTGTTGAAGGGTGGTTTTGAAGTTTTGATATTGGGCTTGTAGCTCTGCGTGATATGTGGCTGGTTAGTTGAAGATTGCACGGATATTCTCTTTTCTGTCTCGAGAAATCAGGAGTCAAATGGATGAAGATATAGAAGAAATCGCCTTTATTTACCTTGCTGCCTCTTCGGGTTTATTTGTGTCGCCATGGCTAGAGGTGGAGAGAGGTTGTTGATTAGTTGCAGGATCCATATGTTTTTTTTTTTTTTTTTTTTTTTTTTTTTGTTGTTGCAAGGTTGCTGTTTGAAGCGAGCGCTCAACCTTAAAATCGGGGTGATTGATGTCGGCGAACTATGATTCAGCATTTGGGAGCCACGTCTCCTGAGAAATATTCGACCACCATAAATATTTAATTTACATATTGCATATCGCATATGATTTGGTCCAGCAAACAAGGCAGTTCAATGAAGCAATTTCTTTGCAATCTCCAGCGTAAATAGCATTATCACTAATATAGAGCCTGCCCCAAGTCCTGAGCCGACGTTCGACTCGGAAAAAAAATACCCAAGTCTCTCAACTCCATCAACTCCAAGAACCGCATGTCGCGATCGAAATCGGGGTTGAATAGTCAAATAGATATACAAATATATACATCTGGCAAATAATAATATGTCTATAATGAAAAAAAAAAAAAAAAAAAAAAAGAAAGGCTCGTCCCGAAATCAAAGCCCTGCTTAGAAAATATGTAAATATTCTTTATCCTCTAGTTATCGCACTCCTCGCAGTTGATATCCGTCATTGGCGAGGTGCTAGACCTCCCAACTGTCTTCTGCAAGCGGGAACAAAACCTAGGTCCCATGTGGAGCAGTTAGCAGTTGAATCCCACGGCAACCAGAGGACAAAGGTCATGCTTCACATAGAAGAACGGCCTGTGCACTAAGCTTCCAGATTAATGGCCAGCAGAACTGTAGATGATATATATCGCGGGCTACACCCAACCTATCCCACATATTCCTCCATTGTATCTGGAGACCTAAGCACGACCACAATCACGTCGCCATAGCCTAAAATGCCAACTCCTTGTTGACCAAGTGCGTTTGATCCCATTCCTCAGCGGGAAACAACCCAGGATCGATATCGGTAAATATACCTACTCCGGAGAGGTTTTAGGTTGTTTCGCACATACACTTCGCTATTGTCGGGGTGATTGAAGCTACGTGCAACCCTGCCTCTTTTTTTTTTATTTGTATTTTAATTTTAATTTTTTTGTGCTTTCCTTCTAACCCCGCGACGGAGCTGGTCAGGAGTAAAATCGGGGAGAATGGAAACACCGCATGCTCCACTCACACACACGCAAAACGTACATTCTATTGGAAAACGGTGATCTGAGCCCTTCTTCCCTTCTTCTTTTCCTGGACAAAAGGAACCCTAGAAGGGAAAAAGAAGTGATAAATAAGAAAAGCTCGTGGATACACACAGAGACTTACGTATTCGTCACACACACACACATACACACACACACACAAAACACCCTTTACAAAGGCTGCATCCAAGCCGTATTCTGGAAATAATCCGACATGCCCGGCTCATGCAGATACAACTCACGCCACTCGTCCTCCATATCAGTCAGGTCCTCCATGACAATTGGCCTGACCTGTTCTGAGTCACCGAATGAGAAGAGCTGTCTCCAATCCGACTGGCCACTGGGCTCATTTTGGCGGTTTTCCGGTTCCAAATGGTCAACTGTATATGGTTGCTGTTGTTGCTGTTGCTGGTTGTAGTTGTGGTTGTGGCCGGGCCCAGTCAACCACGGCTTGGCACGGTCTTCGAACTGCGGGCCTCCACTGAACCAAATGCTATGATGTGACGGGGTTGGTTGGTCTGGCACTGGTGGTGTGGTTTGATCCGTGTACTTTCGTGGGTGGTGATCCCCCTCTCTAGATTTATAGGTTGAATCCCTTGTCTTGACGTCTTCGATGTCACGCTGCAGGCGCTTGGAGCTTTCGAAAATCCGCAGGATGGTTTCAGCATCCAGCCAGTATTGCGCGTGGATACGAAGCGAGGTTAGGGTTGAGTCGAATCGGCGAAGACCATTGATGGCCAGGACAGGGTTTGAGAATCTCAGTTCCACTCGCACCTGGATCATCGCTGTGAAGAGAGCGTTGACTGAGGATATCCACAAATATTTGAGCCTGTCCTTTTCTCTAAGATCTTCAAAGATGGAGACAATGACACCAGCCGCTGCGCTGCATATCTCAGCATCGTTGGGGCCGTAGTCATCCGAATAAGCGGAGGCTCGAGGATGTGGGCGGTGGAGTAAAATCAGGAAATTATTATAAGTCAGATGGAGCGACGCAGGCCACGAGCCGGACTCTGCTGTAGACATCCGAACTGAATCAGGGAGCATAAGTGACCAGTTCGCAAGGGCTCTATCTGCTTCGCTAAGCACAGCTTTTCGCCTTTCGGGACTAACCCGCAAACCAAATCTTTCCTTCATTATGTATGAAATCAAAGTGCAAAGTTTGGTATAATGTATGACGTAATCGATCTGAACTCCGCGCCCACACCCTTCAAAATCAGCCGCAGTAAGGTCCTGCACGTCGGAATCCTCTAAGTTGCTATATGTTAGGTTTCACATTCGTCAGCGAACTTACAAATGTCGAAATTCTGGTGGGTGGGACTGAAGTACTCACACAGCCTGTGGCCTCCCATATAACAGAGATACCATGACGTCGAACTGAACTAATATCCACCAAACCCGCCGCCACATACGCTTATCAGCCGATACCATCCTGCTAGAAGCTGCGTTGCGATGCATCCCAAGACCAGTTGCGATTCTCGCTGCGACGCCCACCCAGTAGTGCGAATTTGCAGCAACATCGTCATCAACCGGATCTGAGTACCATGTGAGAAGCAGGGCTGCTTGTACCAGGATATCTCTGTTGCGCTCAACCCGCGCATCAAATAATATTTTTGCCCGACGGAAAAAGGATGCCTTGAGAGAATCGCGTAGAGGGCGGGGATATGAGACATGGGCTCCGACAAGGAGAATTGCTTGGAGGATCAACAGGGAAGTGGGATCTGCAGGATCTCGGCTTCTATACTGTGCCGTGAATACGTCCTCTTCGATTATAGGACAGCCGGGGTTGACGTGGGTGAAGTACGCCTCTACCAACTCATCTGCGAGCTGCTGTTCGGGGAGGACGAAAGCCTCTCTTGGAATTTGCTCTAATCTATTCTTCACGCAGTATTTTGAAATCTCATTGGCGGGGAAATGGTAGACCTCGTCATTCCGGTCGCCGTGCTGTTGCCGAAATAAGAAATTCATGTTCGACACATCCTGCCCAACATATATTACCCGGACATTCTTTTGTATTGAGCGATGATGGTCTTCCTCGTCCAGGATCTGAATGAGGTGTCGTTCTAGTCGACGAGTATCATCCTCGTCGCCTTGTGAATCTGGGGATATCGCTTCTGCAAAAGATTGCGGGGCAAGGTGCTCCGGTTTGGGTCCACTTGGTCTTGTTGACAAAGCGTTCGGGGAGGATGGGGTCGAGGCAGAAAGGGAGGGGTTGCTCAGGGGGGGATTCGAGAATCCAATTGCACCGGCACCATTTGCAGGAGGCAAGGGAGCGCATCGGATGGGAATTGGATGGCGAAGGGAGTGGGAAAGTGTACGTTTCTTTTTCTCATGGATTCGACAATCGCTTTTACCGGAGGAGCGACAGTTGGAACAAGGTATACCAACGTTCCGCGCATCGCAGCGCACTTTCCTTTGATGGCAATGAATGCAAGCAGCTGGACCTACGACGCTGTAAGAAAAATGCACAAACATAATTGCACGAGGGAGAGCCAAAAAAAAAAAAAAAAAAAAAAAAAATTTATCCAGGGATTGTGGTTGATCAGAGCAGGGAACATACGCTTTCGCTTCAGGGGCCCCTCAGGTGCCGCTTGGGGGTTGTCGTCGTTGGAAGACATGAGAGAACACGCACAAGGGGGCAATACATGTTCCAGTGAGTTGATAATGCTCCCAGAATTGCGTGTTCAATGGGCTATTCCGTCGTACCTGGACATCGTGGAGGGAGAAAGGAAGGGAAACACAGCGGAAACACAGATTACTTCACATATTTCGACTTGCGGGTTTTCAGGGTTTGGCCGGGTTGCTGCAGGCTCACGTGAAAGCTGATAAGATTTCCAGAAGCCCCCATTTTTTGGGGGGAACTAACTAACTCTGGAGCTTAGTGATCTCGCCCGGCATTACTAAAATCCGCTGCAATTATTAATAGGAATAAACAAATATAGAATTTTGATAATGATAGGATCTGGGGCGTCAGCAATTTGAGAATCCTATTCCTATCCATGTTGCTTGCTGCTGTGTATATGTATGTACAGAACGGCACATGCATGCCGGGTTGAAGAACTTCGTCGTAACCAAAAGCACAGGTCGAATGGTTCCGGGTTCTTGCGTGTCTGTCATTGAACCAAAACCAAAGCTGTAAACGGTTCCTGGAGCTTAAATATTAACTCTCAAAATGGAAATTTTTGCCTTGGGGGAATGCAGCGCCATTGGGGCAATCAAACCTCTGTCTAATAAATTTATTTCATTCAAGGAGCCAACAAACATCCCCTCGGCAGGTTCTTAACTTTGGTACTTGTTGCCTCGCTCTCGTCGGGATATGAGGCTACCACCAAAATGTGCCTGCGTTAAAGCCCAAGCAATAAAATTAAATTAAATAAATTAAAATAAATTAAAAATTAAAAATTAACAAAAAAAAAATTAAAAAAAAAAAAAAATTAAAAAAACTGAAGCGCCGCAAATTGCCACCCCTAGCCTTATCGAAGCGCAATTATAAATTCTCCCCCGCGTGGTATCAGACTCATGGCCCATCTTCTCGTGTTGATAGCTTAATTGCTTCACCCTCCCAAACATTCAAGGTTCGCGGGGGGCTTTCTGGTCAATATTGCTGTGGAACGGTTCCTTGGCTGGCCTTGTTGCAATCGAGTGTATGGCACCCACCGAGTCATCGACCTGCCCATGTATAACTGACACCCACCCCCCCCCCCCCCCCCCCCCACTCAGCAGAGGCCAAAGTGTGGGGTAGATGGAATCTCCTACAAAACACCCTGGAACTACCATGCCTAGCCATGCGTGGCATGCAGCCGCGCCGGGACACCCTGGACACATCGCACCTGGTGATCAAGGTTAAAATCCTAGTTGCTTTTGCGGGGCACTACAACGAACGGGCAAAAGTGTGCTCAATCACAGATTATTGAGGCAGGGCACCATCTAAATGAGTCCAGAGCGATTGAGAGAAGGATAACGAGAAGAGGAGAGAAGAAGAAAAGTAGGTGAAATGACAGGTAAAAAGGAGAAGAGAGACTGGCAATGTCTGGTTTGACTGCTCTCTAACCCAGCATTATCCAGACGCAGGAATAATATCCCTGCTCAACAGGCCCCGTCTATGAAAATGGCGTGGCCCAGATAACTATGCATCGTTATGGTGAAACGACCCTGGTCCCTTTCTCCTCGAATGGGGCTTCTGGAACTATTATTAATAATGGAAACCCTTTTTGATGTAAAAATGACCAACTAACTAGTTATCTCTTATGCTCCATGATGTAAATAGATTGACGGTCACATTGACAAGACAAACAGAACTTGCTTGATGCTTGTATTTTTTTTTCTTTTTTTTTTTCTTTTTATTTTATTTTATTTTATTTTATTTTATTTTTTTTGATTTAGTTTCGGCTCTCGCACTCTTTGTAATCTCGGGAGCAATGCAATCTAGTGCTTGTAGGTTAATGAGATAGATATCTTGAAAGTTAGAGCAATCTGGACGCGCTGGAATAGGCAGTTCGGGAGCAAATAGGGAAAGCCAATGCTTATCTTTGGCGGTTGTCGCAGTCCTCACTTCACGGGACAAACCATGATGAATTCAGTTCAATTCTGGGATGGTTGGGGTTGGCTATTTGGGGTTTTCGTCGGCGGTTGGGAACTTTGACCCGAGTGACCCGTTGGTCGGTTGCTTGGATCGGGCAAACCCTATCTCCGTCAACAAACTAAACTGTTAACTCTCTGGCTGCCGCCGACAAGACTTTTGCCCCCTCCCCCACACTATGTTTTCTTAGTCGGGCAAACAACCTCCTCTCTCTCTTCACTCTGTAGTTACATCCAATCCCCTTCACAACACTTCACCGTCCACGGGCAGTATTTATCTGGTAAACTTCCCGTGAGCTGTTTGCTAGGTGGAGGTTTCTTCTTCATGGCAAACTTGTCAGAGGGTGCGCGACCAGGAGTTAGTTAACAGGTTTAAGAAGAAAACACAAACAATAATAACTCGTATAGTTAAACCGTTCATCCGTTCCGAAGGTTGTCCGAACCGCCGCCAGCTCAACCTCTCCGAATATTCCGCCGTATTTCTCACCAAGCGCCCTGCCCTTGTTTGTTCCTCGGCTTGGAAAGTCTTTCCCAGTCCCCTTGACTCATAGCAGATAAGAAAACCCGGTGCTATTCCGGCATATATAACTAATCAAACCTCTGCTTATCTCATCTGATAAGATAAACTTAGGTAACTAGTTGGTTAAAGTAGTTGATGTGTATTTAAAAAGGCAACTTGGAACAAGAACACTCATTCGACTCACAGGCAACTCCTACATCAGTCGCTTAAATCTAGAATCCCAAAGAAGGGCCATGTCTCCTCCGAGCGCAGTTGATCCCCAGATCATCACCAATGCAAATCCGCCGGAGCCATTGACGGTTGCTGATGTGCCAGCCCGGCGTGCCAAAACCAAGGTGCCCACCGGCGTGGCAGCAAATTCAGAGAGTGATATGTTCAAGAGCGCTGTAAATATCTATCTTTTCCTTTCCCCACACTTTATATGTATTGATGGGGGAGATAGAAGAAGCATGCAATTGAATGCGGGATAGTCTGGAAGTGGACATGATAATCTTCAAGGGAGAGTTCAAAGGGAAACGGGCAAATATTGACCACACCTCTTTAGGCATGTTTCACTAAACCAAAAGCAAAACGCTTCGAACGTGAGTCCGACACCTACCATGTATTATTGACAATGCTTTTCGTGGTTTCAATTTATTTATTTATTTATTTATTTATTTATTTATTTATTTTTCTTTTTTGTTGGATTAACATGATGGTGCTGTTTCTCTCCTGCAGACCTGCTATCCGCTGAAAGCAAATCTCGAAAGGTAAATTTAAAAGATAGTTGTATTTCCAACGTTTATCCCTTTTTCCCAACTGTGAAATCTAACTAACCCTGCATGGATAGGGCTCGTCATTGAAACAAGCTGCTAAATACCTTGATAAGCCTGGTACGTCCTGGGAGAGCTGCTGTGCTTGCTCTTTTGCGGCATCATTTCCCCATCTCCCCTGATGTTGAATATCAGATCAATGTTAAATATCCAACAATTAGGCCTTATTTCCTTGGGCGGAGGACTTCCATCGTGCGAATATTTCCCGTTTGAGTCCATCTCCATTAAAGTTCCAACCCCACCGCATTTCTCCGAAGAAGAAACGGTAAAGACGGGAACAGTTGTGACGTCTGCAAAGTATGATATAAGGAATGGAAAGAGTGACTTAGGTTTGTTTGCTGCCATGTCCCTTGACAAGGCCGTTCGCTAACTGAACCTCTCTCTTTAGATCTGGAGATTTCTCTGAATTATGGTCAGTCAAATGGTACGGCGCCAATGATGCGTTTCGTCACCGAGCATACTGAGGTAAATTCCAGCTGAAAAATGAAAGAAAAAAAAAGAAAAAGAAAAAGAAAAATAAAAAGAAAAAGCCCGTTCAGCTCGTTGAGCATGATACAGAGAATCAGAGAGACAAAATATCTAAGTACAGAGGTAGATCGTCCACCACCCTCCATACTCCGACTGGCAGTGCAGCTTGACAGCTGGAAGCACCTCCTCCTGGGACATGGCATTGCGCATGTTCTGCGAGCGGGGTGACTACATCCTCGCAGAAGAGTACACCTTTGCCACAGCACTGGAAGCCGCGTCTGCCCTGGGTGTGCGTGCCGCCGCCGTTAAGATGGATGACCAGGGCATGCTCCCGGACTCTCTGGACGAGGTAATGACCAACTGGGATGCAGCGGCAAGGGGCGCCCGCAAACCCCATCTCCTCTACATAGTCCCCTCAGGCCAGAACCCGACAGGCACCACGCATGGCCCGGAGAGGAGAAAGGAGATCTACAAGGTTGCGCAGAAGCATGATATTTTCATCGTGGAGGATGAGCCGTACTATTTCCTGCAGATGCAGCCGTATAAGGGCGTTGACACGCCGCCCGATGCACCGCCGGCGTCGTATGAGGCGTTCATTAAGTCGCTCATCCCTTCTTATCTGAGCATCGATGTTGATGGGCGCGTGTTGCGATTGGAGTCCTTTTCCAAGGTCATCTCGCCTGGCTCGCGGATGGGCTGGATCGTCGGCACGGCGGAGATTGTGGAACGGTATACGAGGCATTCCGAGGTTTCTACGCAGAATCCCAGTGGCATGTCGCAGATTATCCTGTTCAAGCTCCTGGATGAGAGCTGGGGGCATGCGGGGTATTTTGATTGGCTGATTAATTTGCGAATGGAGTATACTGCGCGGAGGAACACCATGCTGGATGCGTGCGAGAAGTATCTTCCGAAATCCATTGCTAGTTGGAATCCCCCTGCTGCTGGGATGTTTGTACGTTTGAACCACTTCCCTTCCCCTGGTTAACTGTCCTCCTATCTGTGTGAAATTTGTGGAATGCTGGGGAGCGGGGATCAAAAACAAAACTAGTGTCCTAACCTTTCCTTTTCGCATATAGCACTGGATCAAAGTCGACTGGAAAAGGCACCCAGGAGTCCGCGAGGGCAAAGACCACGCCGCTATCGAAAACGCGATTTTCAAAGCCACCATTGAAGAGGGCGCGCTTGTCTCCGCTGGCAGTTGGTTTGTGGCAGACAGTTCCATTCCACAGACGGACATGTTCTTCAGAGCCACATACGCTGCAGCCCCGGGCGATAAGATCGAAGAAGCCATTCGAAGGATTGGTGTGGCGCTGAGATCTGAGTTCAGGTTGGATTGAAAATTCTCTCTTTCCAATATGGCCTGAGCGGTGATATCTTGTGTTATCCCCGACGCACCGAGTAGAGAGAAGTGGTTGTGTTGCTTTATTCTATATTTTTTGACTCGATTTTTGTGAATAGTTATTCAGAAATATTTACTAGAATTACTTTAGTTCGACTCATGACATAGTATACGCTTCGCATAGGGCTAATATACATCCTATAATTTGACTTGCATGGATATTGAATTAAAATATTGCTTTTGAGACATAGCTGACCGTGCCCGAATGCTTCACTGGAATGAATATTGAACAGCTGGGAATGCTCGTTCCTCTTTAAATGCAGCCCTGCTTAAGCGCATTACACAATATCTTCTCAATCATGTCCAACCCCCCAAAATTAACAAAACCACATCCACACTACAAACAAACAAACAAACAAACAAACATAATAATAATAATAATAATAATAGTACCCCTCCATCACCCCCAACACTACAACTCTACCCCCTCACTTCCCTGCCCCAGTCGTATCCCTCACAGTCCCACCCAACCCCTTTGTCGTCTGGCCAACCCCCTGCGTCACATCGCCAAGCGTATTTCCGACCCCTTTCTCAGCAGCCCCGACCGTATCTCCGACAGTGCCGAGCGTGCCACCCACGAGCCCGCCGGCGGTTTTCGTCACGCCGCCGAGAAGGCCGTCGTCGCCCCCTAGGAGGCCACCGCCGTTGGCGGGTTGGGCTTGGACTTGAGGTTGTGTCTGGCCCTGTGGTTGTTGGGCTTGGCCTTGGGATTGTGGGTAGACTTCGGTTTGGTTGAAGGATGGGATGTGATCGGCCATTTTGATTGTAGGGTTGAGAAATTGGCTGTTGCAGTCTTATTGTCTTATTGTTGAAGTGGAGAAATTCGTGTGTTTGTGTAATATTCTTGAGGGGTATATTTGAAGGAGAGGAAATTATTCTTTAGTTTTACAAAAATAATAATAATAATAATAATAATAATAATAATAATAAAACAGCTGAAATGAAGGAATTGGGAGCGCTGGCTGCCATTTTATAATTCAAGAGTTAACCTTCAGTTCATGTCATCCGCAGGCTGCAGGGAGCAATTGACGTCATTTAGTAGGGCAGTAATTCCTGTTTTCATTTACATCTATCCATCGTGGCAATGGGTAGGACTGATGGAGATGGGCATCTCCCTGTCGTTGGGCCCTTTTTCCATTCATGGTCCGTTGTGCTTGTGCTTCCAAAGTTCTGAGAATTCTTGGACAGATGACGTTGAAGGCTTTGAAGGCTTTGAAGGCTTTGAAGGCCCGGCGGTGGGCTTATGTCAGGGCAGCTTGGCCAGCTAACCAAGTCCGGGTAATTTCCCCGAGCCTTTTGGAGAAGGATGAAACAAAACGTTATCCACGAGCTATGAAAGTTACGGATTAACTTGGCCGCGGGCTGTTTCAACGACGATAGAAGAGAGGGATAAGTTCGTTGTTTCAGGGGGAGTTTGGAAACGACAGGAGTGCAGTTCCATTTTCTCATTCCTTTTCGTCAGGTTCCCTTTCCGATTTCCATTTTCAAGAAGGTAACTAGGTGGAAGGGAAGCCATTGTCCCTATTTTCCATTTCATTCCGTGCAGCGTGTCCCCTCCCCTTTGACGCCACTGACAGCATCATATCTGACAGCTGAAATGGTTATCAACCTGGCAACTCTATCCACTTCCCCTCCCTGATGCAATTTTGATTCACTCTAACAGTCCAATTACCCTAAGATATGCATAGGCTGAGCTCCCTCCTGGGGTATTTGGTCTGCAAGGACTGTTGCTGGCTGAGGTTTTCCCTTCACTTTGTTGATCTTCTTTTCCCATTGGATACACGACCAGCTATTTCTTTATATCCTATGCCAATTATATAAAATAAAATAAAATAAATTCAGCACGATAGAAATGGTCTTTTGTCTTGCTGCGCCACGGCCGTCAGGCCCTGACCAAAGTGCAAGGTCTGGTAAGCTTGGTTCGGGGGGATATGACCTCTATGAGAGGTCCCAAGGTACACCTGAAGTGGAACGAGTTAAGGGGTGCGAGCTCACTACGAATCAAGATCCGGCAGCGCAACAGTAGTCTGCAGCACCATATAGGAAGCAGTAAGGATATGAGGCATTCATCATCTGTTACATACATGGCTGACCTGGAACTTGCGATCCTACCGAAAGAAGTTGAACCATCTTGTCGTTACGTTCATGGTGGAAGGGGACGGGGACCAGCGTTCATTGGCCTCACGTTGCTGGCTCGTAGATTGGCAACGCCTTTCGAGAATTAAATATGTTCGCAGTCCAGAACCCAGAGGTATGGAGATATCGAAATGCAATGGTATGAGAAAAGAAAGGCCCATCATCATCGTTTGTGTGCCTCAAGTCTCGTAGCAACTATGTCCATCACACGTGGAAATTGATAAAAATATCACGCCTTCCTGCCTCTCAAGGGGAGACTCAAGGGCAACTCTGGCGGACAAAGGATCTATTTCACTATTTCATGGACTGAAGACTTGTCGAAGCAGAACATGCTAAGATTGCGGAGACTCCTCAACGTAACTACATGTTGGCGTGGGGTAACTATTGATAAGACGGATCGCAGGTTGCCCTGGACCTCGCGCACTTTTCCCAACCGTAAAGGACACGATTGTAGCCTAGAGGAATATCAATGTTATATTCTCTATTCTTCATTCGTTGAGATATATCCATAAAATCAAGCTGTAGAAATTCCATATTTGAAGACAACCCTGACTGGGAGGTGTTGAGGATCACGTGGATGGAAATTTAGGCTCAAAACAGCGTTGAAACAAGAGAATGGTTCTCTTCCCAACTTCACCTATATATATATATATATATCTCCATCTCCCAACTCTCCTCTGGTAAGTCGACATTTTTCTCATATTTTGACATCGAGAAGCAGCGAAATTCCCCCCACCTTTTGGCTTTGATTAAATTTGCGTCATGTATCCCTAGGTACACCTCCTTTCGACGCAGTCGGGGACTCTGCTTAAATTGAAACCTTAATCCCCCCTGGCGCCTCTGCCTGTTTTCTGGAGACATTTTGCCCATTAAACTTGATATGAATGTTGGGCCGCTCAACATACCTTTTTGTTTCTTATTCTCATATTGCGTCTATTTCCATTTCAATGGTAGTTTTGTCATTGCAGCACTGACTGACACCCTTACACACTTGGTGTTAGCAGATTTCCCATTCCCCTTTGTATGGGCACAATACAGGGACACAGTCACTCTCTCATGGCTCTGCTTTGTCTTGCCCTCTAGAACTGAGACTCCATTAGCAAGTGTTGCTGCTGAGGATTGAGGACTTCCTCTTGTTCTTCCTCTCCTTCATACCCATCAACCTGGGAGTGATATTGCACCAGGTTGTCCTGTAGTACTAGATACTCAGACAAAGATTCACTTGTGATTAAAGTAACATCCCTCCCTCCCACAGTCACAGTCTGCTGCAGACAAACTCTCCTCTGTTGACAGATAAATTGCTGTTCTTCCTCCCTTACATAAGGTCAGCGCTGAGCACTGCACTAGCCCTCTTGTGTTCAGCGACGACTAAGCGCTGTGCAGTGCCCTACGGACACCACCCCATCAATCTGGGGTCCTGTTCTAGGTATCTCTCCTGTTTCCTCAATCCCCTGGGATTGCTCCAAGAGCTCTTGGATGCCTGCCTTGTAGAAGAATTGGATTAACCGTAGTAGGGTTTGCTTCAGAAAAACGCAGAAAAACAGCGTTCACCACCCGTCCGCCTGCCACTCTTCCAGTGGAGGTTCTGCAGGGGGTTGTCTTTCGAGGCTGTCAGTGTCCTGACCCAGGAGAGGTACCTGCATCCCCATCTTGGCGGATATATCACGTCGTCCTCGACTAGGCAAGAGGTGACCACCCGCTTCCTCCGTAAGTAGATTCATCTCCTTTTCCTCCCTCCTCGCCCTCTTTATCATCAACATCACCTCCTCCTTGATCCTTCTCGAGCACTCATCAAAGCTCTTTGCTTGGCCATTCATCCTTGGTTTCATCATCCATCATCCACCACCCTCCCCTCGTTTCGCACTTCTATGTCACATATCTCACTATCATGGCGTGCCACAACAGCCGTGCGCGGCGAAATGCTTTTTATGGGTTTGATTTTGTCCTTTTTTTGGTTCATTTTAGTCTATACCACTTGTTGTGCGTTTTATGAAAACTGACGCTTTGTATTTCATGTAGCGATCAACCTCGGTGTGGGCGAAATCGCGAACCCCATTGCGACCAGTTACAGGCCCGCGAAGGGAATACCTACTTTGTTCCTGACGCTGTCAAGGCCTCTCCCCCAGACGCCACTAGTGCTTATCAGGGACCCCTAAGATCTTCACAGCAACAGCTTGGAGAGGCTTTTCCTCGTTCGACTTCTTACTCCTCAAATACTTGGGAAGACGCTGGCGTCGGAGAGCCTGAGCCTTTTGACAGTGAGCAGCGGAGAGCAGAGAAGCGGAGAGCAAAAACCCTTGACGAAGTTGAAGAACGTCCTTTTCCGAGATTTCCTGAACAGCCTACCAATTTTGCCCCAAATCTTTGGCGAAGTGGACAAAGGTAGACGGAGTACTTCCTTTATCTGCTTCAGGGGCTTGGATGATTGTAAACCAGCTGACGTATCTTCGAATCAAGGCCACTAGAAACTAGTGAATCACTTGTTGAAGCCTTTCCGCCGTTTGATCCAGCACCTGGTAGTTCAGGATTTTACTACGAAGACGCACCCTATTTTGCTCAGTCGTCTCTTGATCCTGCCACAACTTCACCATTTTCATACCGCCCCGCTGAATCACCGGCTGCTGAAGCTTTTCCACTACCTGATCCAGCGCCTAGCAGTTCAGGGTTTTACTACGAAGACTCACCCTATTACAATCAACCCTCCCCCGGGGCTGCTCCAACATCTTACTCTTCACACAGTCCCGGTGTCGCTAATCAAACACCCCGCAGGCCTCCGCCACCTTCAGATCCAAACCCGCTATCTGATTATTCCACAAATCCTCCCAGATCAAACACATTCTCTCCGCGCTCACCAGTTTTATACAGCCACGCAGCTGTACTCTATCAACCACCTTCTGATTTACCCCGGCCTACTGACAAGCCTTTCTACGACCCATTCAATCAGCCCAAGGACGCCTATCAAAACCGCCCTGATACTCTGAACCAGCCCAAGCCATCGCTTGGTTTTCAATCCCCTCCCCATCCATTTGGTTCAAAGAATCATCCACTTAGGGCTCGGGGCAACACATTTGACGTAGAAAATCAACCATTCAGAGCCCGGGGCAACTCATTTGGCACAGAAAACCAACCCCCAAGGAACCCGTACAACAACCCTCCGCCTCCAACTAGGCGTCCTACATTAAATCCAACACGCGATCGTGCCAAGACCTTACCGAGCGCTCACGATTTCCAAACATTTGACAGGAGACACAATTTCAACCCTTTATATTTCTATCCGGGAAACGAACGTCGATATATAAATAACGATTCACAACTGGGTCCTTCAAAACCTCTCCCTCCCCCACCTCCACACCACCCACCGCCACCGCCACCGCTGCCACCCCACTTTAGGTCCCGTCGTTCAAAGATTTCCCGAGGCGGATGTTTATGAACCCAAAGAGCTATCCGCAAATATCTTAGCCACATGGGCAGGCGAACCTGCTGACTATAACGACCTTCTAAACTACTCCGTACGATATTCAAAGCTACCCTTTCAGTCAGCAGCCCCCAATCAAAAGAAAGCCTAGAAGAAGTATACGCATTGTCGAATCTCTGAAAAGAATTTTTTCTCCAAGACGAAAATCCAGCGTCACGGAATTTGCAGTTCTGCCAAAAATCCAGGTCGACGAATCTTGCTTCAGCGTACACAACAGGTGGATTGAAGGGGCGATCGACCATACGAACAAAATTTCTGAGAGGGGAACAAACCTACGTCCCACCATGGCTTCGACGTATCTTGACCCTTCATCGGCTATGGTGACAATCACCAAGCAGAAGGCTGAGGCTATGAGATTAGCGAAGGAGCAAGGGGCCGCTGTGAAGGAAATGTGTAGGAGAGCGAAATCGGATATGCCTCCTTATGTATTCGAGGAGCTTATTGGGAAGGGAGCTTATGGGAGAGTGTACAAGGGGTTCGTCAGCCCCAATTTTATGATTTTATTCTATTTCCCTTTTTCAGTTTGCCATTATTACTAACTTGGTTTCATATTAGTCGCCAAATCCATTCACAGAAGGTCGTGGCCATCAAAGTGCTAGAAATTGATACGGTTGATTACAAGTCCGTGCGAGATATGAAGGACGAATCGATCAAGGATTTCATCCATGAAACGAAAGTGATGATGCAGGTCAAGGAAGCCGGAGCTAAAAATATCAATATGCTCATTGAAGCTTTTTCGATCCATTCTCAGCTGTGGCTGGTTTGCGAGTATTGTCCCGGGGGAAGTGTGAAGACTTTGGTATGATTTGATATCCCCCTTTAATTCTCTCTTTTCTGTGAATGAATTCCCACCTGCACCATGAGCATATTTTCTTTTCTTTGCCCTTTTTTTTTCTTCCCCTGAAATCAGTTCATTCCTGGACTTGGTCTTCATTACTAACTGGATTATTAGATGCGAGCAATGGGCGATAAACTTGAAGAACGATTCATTATTCCAATTGCAAGAGAGCTCGCGGAAGGTCTCAAGGCCATCCACGACGCCGGCATTATCCATCGTGACATTAAAGGTTCGAGAAATCCTTCCTCTATATGACTTATATCTACGCAACACTGAACTAATAGTCACGTAGCGGCCAATGTCTTGATTCATGAGGAAGGCCGCTTGGAGATATGTGACTTCGGAGTGGCTGGTGTTCTCCAGAGCAAGGTGGACAAACGTACAACATGGATTGGGACTCCGCATTGGATGCCCCCTGAGATGTTTCCCATGAGGGGAGGAGGTGAGATGCATCAATATGGAAGTGAGGTGGGTGTATTTTACGTGATATAGCGTTACTTGCTTTATAGGATAGGGCTGACTCAAGTAGATTGATGTTTGGGCATACGGCTGTACCCTTTTCGAATGTGCTACGGGAAACCCACCCAATGCAACATTAAGAGAGAGGATGCAAATTGGACGTCAACTTAACAGATTCACACCGAGGTTAGAGGACGATAGCTTTACCGAAGGTTTACGCTCACTGGTATCATTTACACTGGATTCGGATCCTACAGTGCGCCCTACGATGGAAAAGATCCTCCAACATCACTACCTTGCTCACACAAGAGAATCCCACCCAACAACTTCGCTGAGAGAACTAGTGAAGATATATTACCAATGGGCTCAACGTGGCGGCCAGAGAATCTCCCTCTTTAATCCAGGAGGCGCCATTGCTTCTGAATTTCCTGGGGAAGAGGACTCAATTTACCAAGATGATTGGAACTTCAGCACCACTACTAGCTTTGAGAGAAGGTTCTCTCTGATAGATTTCGATCAGCTTTCTGCGTCACTGGCAGAGCTCGAGGATGAGATAACTCCCACTCCGCCCGAGCCACCAAGGGATGAGTATGATGACAGTAACGATGCCGATTTGACTGCACAGGAAAGAGCCAACTTTGACGAGCGGGTCAAGAGAGGCGCTGCGGCTATGGAGGGTATATTTAACGAAGATAAACCGGATTACAAATATGAGACGAAGAGGGATTTTGTCCCTGTGCAGCAGCAAAGATTTTCCTCCGACCTCCCTCTCAGAACTGACACTGACAGATCCTCTGTTACTTCTACTTTGATTGACCTCAACCTTGGCGACTATGAGTCTTCCCATTATGCAGCGGGCTCCGCGTCTAACAACCCCCGATTCCAGCTTGCAGATGCCAACACAATTCGAGCAAATCGATCAAGCAGCAAACTTACACGCAATTCAAACACGAGCAGCGACTCTAGCGACTACCAGCCAGCCCGCGGACCTCGCCCTCCGACGATGGAATGGACTTTCCCATCCTCAATGTCAGCGGATGCACATTACGACTTCAACCATGACGACGACAGTGGAAGCGGACAGCACCACTTCCAGCCACAACATCAAGAAAAACGAGATACCTGTGCCTGGACCTTCCCAATCATGACAACTGAGCCAGAGGAATCATCCGCACACGAGGAACCAGACCAATGGGGCAGCGGAGTCGCCTCATCCAATCGCCTCAGCCACGAGGACGAAATGGCAAAGCGCTTCCCAACCCTCCAGTGGTCGTCCAACAACCGGTCTATGGGCCTCGACGGTGCCTCAGACTCTCGGCCATCAACAGCAACGTCCTATCACTCCGCAACATCAGATGCAGACAACGACCCATTCAGATTCGATAGACCTGTCACCCCGCCCGCAGTCGAAGATACAGACGATCTCTCCTCCTCCTGCGACACGTTCCCCTCGATCACCGACTCAGCCATATTCACGGACTTCGACGCTGATACCGCCCCATCATCGCTGAACTACACTGCATACTCCCGAAACCACAGCCACAATAACCATCGTGACAACTGTGGCATGGGGAACAGTAACGGTTCACTCGCCGGACCCGGACCTGATCATGACACGGCGGTTGAGAATGGTGGGGTAGAAAGGTCCCAGTGTAGTGCAGAGCCTGATGCAGGGCATCTGGATTTCCCGCAGCCTGTCCCGCCGAGCATGGAGAGTTTGACAGAGGGTGCGAGTGATGAGGTCTTTGCGCGGGAGCTTACTAGGTTGCTGGGGGAATTCTTGAACGGGTTGGCGATTACGGGGCAGCGGCTTGTGAGGACTGAGGTTGGGAAGAGTAGGGAGGTAGGTGCGGATGTAAATGGAAATGGAATTGGAATTGGGAGTGACCATGAAGGAGGTCGTGGTCGTGGTCTTTGCCGTGGTGACAATGGTATTGGGCAACCTGGGCCTGGGCGCGAGGATTGAAGTGGAGTTCTTTTGCTCCTTCCGTGCGGATGATAGCGACGGAGAACTGTGGGAGACCGTGAGGTTGTTGTGTTCGTGGTTGTATTCGTGGTCTTGTGGTAAAGATGATCTCAGACGGTCTGGACCCGAACATGAGGATGATTTACGATGATGTTCATTTGTTTCCTGACTGTGGATTACGGCAACCTTTTGTTGTTTCTAGTTTTCTAGTTTTAGTTTTCCACATTTTACTTTTGCTGTTTCCTTTGTCTTTACAACGCGATGGTATGGATGATTATGGGAACGTGACTGTGAGGAGGCTATTATGGACACGGCGGCGGCGATGGCGTTTAAATACGGAGGATGATATGATTTCTAATGTTGTTTTAACTATTAGTTACAGAGATAGTTTATCCAGTTCCTGGGGGTTGATCTAAGACTTTTTTTGATCGAAACTGTGGATCTGAAAAAGACTCCCCCGTATATTATTTGTTGAGACTTTGTGTTTTCTTATATTTAGTGGCGCTGAAAATGGTTACAAATGAGCAAATATATCTTATCTACTACTTGACTCACTGCCAATGCGTGAATGACACCTATTTTCAGGTACGCGACGAGGACAATATACACATCCACGGCTTCGAATGATTTGCGTTCGATCGTTGTTTCTCTTCTGTGGTAACGAACGGAGCAGCCAACTCCACTTTGAGAGGTTCAACGTGCGGGGCTTAACCCATGCCCGCGCTCGACTTTGGGGCTCTGGCTTCGCGATACGCTCCGAAAGTCGGCCGAGCGTGACGGGAGACAACGCAAACCAGTCTATGACGCCACGAAGTTCTGTGCAGATATAACTATCTAGGTAACCAAATTAGGTTTGTCAATGTTAATGTTGCATGTATGACTGCCATATTTAGCTAATTAAGGAGCAGTCAGTGGTTAGTTATCTGAGCCTCTGCGATTTCGGCTTGAACAAACTTGGCAATTAATTCTCCAGGATCCTCAACCCCATGGTTGGTGGTCGGGGTCAATCCGCTGGCAGTAACAGCTATCACAGCGAATTCATCTCCGGGGGTGGCTTGGTAACCTTATCTTCCCATCGGACACATCTCTTCTGCATCGGACAAGGATGCCTGTACTCCGTGTAGAGAGAGACACGCAGCCTTTGCGGATCAACCGGGCAGTGAGTGAGTGTCACAAAAGGCCATCTATCTCCCTCCGACACCCAACCGGGCTTCCGAACCCCGAATCCCGGTGTCCCTCGCAATGACACCCCCAGTGTGTTTGAACTGACTCATTATTTCTCGGCGCCTGAGCAATCACGGGATACATGTGTACCTGCATATATGCCTCTTAATCCAGTTCTGAGTAGCATTGGAGTGGAGACGCTGCTGTGTCCTCCCGCGGGTTCAACGGCTACATGCGTATTCTCCTGTGGGTACATGTAACTGCAAGAGTGGGCGGTGGGTAATAATCTTCCCCCTGAGCGGGATCTCCATTTGTTTCGTGGAGTAGTTACATGCAAACGCAAGCATCTCTCCCTCTGTGTTTGAGAAAAGCCCAGCTCAAATGGGAGGTTTTTCCCTTCTGGTTAATGAACATTCATTATTTTGGCCCGTCACTTGGAGGTATCGTGTACTCCTTTTGCACATTCTCATGTAGGCTATTTTTATGTTACCCAATCCCGGGATAACTTCATTTCTTGGTTTAGTTATCTTCTGTATCTCTCTACCAGAGAGATCTCGAAAACTTAAGATTATCTACCCCTTTTCTTCTTAATCCTACTCGTTGGACCGCCTGGAGGTTCTAAAGTTTCCAAGTTTCGGGAGGGACCATGAGCCCGGAACCGAAGATAGATTTGAGAGGAAGAGAAAGCAAAACATGGCAGAGCATGGATTCAAGCACAAAGATTGATCAATCTAGAATCTGGAATCGAGATCTGATCGTGAAATGGACTCGATCTTCTCCTTTATCTCCGCGCGTTTTTTTGATTGTTTAAATATTAGTTGACTACTTCACAGGTAAGTTGTTGAATTGATATTATTCTCTTCACTTTTCCAAGTGGTTTTGAACTCTTTATGTCTCCTTTTTCTGCACCGCATCTGGATTGATTTGAGTGTTTATTCCGAATCACTAACATTTATTTCTATGCAGAACAGCAACGGAAACTCTTATTTTTCCTCCTTTTCCTCTTCCTCTTCTTCTTCTCCTTATTTTGTTTTTTTCTTCTTCTCTTTCTTTCTCTTTTTCTTCTTTTTCTTCTTCCTCTTTCTTTTTTTTTTTTTCTGTGCTTTTTTCTTTTTCCTATTTTTTTTTAATCAAAGAAACCTGAAATTAAGCTACAAGACATTTTGAATTTGAATATAACCTTAAGCTTCGGGATTTGTTTTGAGTCTGTTGTTTTTGCCTCTTGATATGTCATTCTATCATCTCATGCTTCAACATCAACAACGCACTACGTCGATTCTCTACCAGTTGAAGTCTTAGCTACTGCGCTGCTTGTGATCTTTTCTCTCATTCTTTTTTCTCACATGTTCTCTGTTATACTTTGCTTCATTTGTTGTTTTGTTTCGTCTAGCTGTTCGTAACAAACACAAGTTGCTATGCTGCTACCCTTGACTCTTTATTTATACAAATCTGCGTTGTGCAAATCCCTTCAAGGTCTTTGAGGTATCTTCATGTTCATACGTCCCCGCAACAATGGCGATCTCTGATACCCTCATGGTATACGGAAATATTGTCAATGCCCTCCAACCCTCCAACCCGTCAGAGCAATGGAAGGTTTCACTTCAGGAGGTCAAACTTCTCTATTTTCGGCGTCAATACAAGCAATGTGCTGCCAAATCTACAAAATTGCTCCGCGAAGTGGACCAGGTAAGCTTTTCTTTTTACTCTATCATCGAGATAAGAGCGGGGCATTTTATCTGATTAACCGGTATCTATAGCTTCAAGCGATCCACAAAGCATTCCTTCATTATTACTGTGCCATTTCATACGAAGCCCTGGGACGGGGAGCACACAATTACTCAAGCAACAAACTCCCGCTCCTCAATCTCGCCAGAGATAATTTCATGGCCTGCAAATCCTCTCTCGTAGCAGCCCTTCCAGGCTCCGATGAGAAGAAGAAACAACCTCAACTACCCCAACCACCGCCACCACGAATATCCAGCCAACGAAGACGCGAACACGCGTCAACGAACGACAAGCGGAAAACATATCCAGCAACGTCACCTATACAACTTCGTCGTGACACGCCCATCCTGATTGAAAATGAAACCAACATTGTAGCTCCCTTGCTGGAGCCAACTGAGCAGAAAACCGCCAGTCAGCATACCAGTGTCCCATCCGATAACACAGCGACGCATGCTGTGTCTCGGCACAGGAGAGACCTCATGCCTTCACCCCTTCGGATCCACAAAATCTGCAACAGTGAAATCTGCAACAGTGGTTTCCTCCATAACCAACTAATCGAATACAACCCACCTTCTTTACCCCCACCTACACGCCCACTACCCGAATTACCGCCGGAAGCCCATTACCGGACCCACTCCAGGGACCCCATATCTCTGGCCCCGCACCACCCAGATGCAGAATCAATTGTGTCGCTCTATGCCCCCCTCGAGCCTCAATTCTACAGACACTCAATTGATTCTTCCGCCACATCCGCCAGTAATACCGGCGCTGCACATAGAAGCAGAATCAACTCAACCCGTAGCCACTGCCAACAGCAGCAGCAATGGAACATCAATCGCATTTTCCCGCTCCCCGCCGACTCCCAACTCATCCCACTCATAACCTCCCTTTGTACTCAACTAGATGCAAATGTAAAATCCACCGGGGCCCTGATATCCAAAACCCTCGACCTCCAGCGCGTCCACAATGCCAAGAAAAGTAACCGCTTCGCCTCCTTCTGGAGCTTCACCCCTACATACGACGATCCAAATGACACCTCCACAAATACCAGTGAACCCCATCCCCATAATCACCAATTCCATGACTACACCCGCAACAACAGCACCACCCAACCCAGAACCAGCCACCCCTCCACCCCCTCCTCCACGCCTCCCCCCTTACCTATCCCCGGCCCAACCCCAACTGACACAATCCACACCACCACCACCACCACCATCCCATCTTCATCCCTGTCACCCTCCGATGAGACACGCGAGCAGCGCATTGCTCGCCTAAGAACTGATGGGTGGATGACAGTTGGCCTGCGATCAACGAAATGCGCCTGGAAAGGAACGGCGTATTATGAGCGCTTGTGCAATGAGGCACTGGCGGAGCTCTATGGGAATGGGAGGGCGGGATGAGGGTTGTTGGTGATTGGTGATGGGTTATGGGTAATGGGAAGATGTACATGTACACATGCATATCGACCTAGGATATAACTAACCTATGTATAAAACCGTCTGGGAAAGTTTTTTTTGTTTTTTTCTTTTTTTTTTTTTTTCTTCCCTTCTCCGTTTTCTGTTAACTGTCTCCACTCCTCCCCCTTTTTATATATTCATATCTCTTCACGTTATTCTCTACCAGTCCATTTTCTTTCCCCTTCCATTGGACCTTGACTTATTTCCTTTTTAATCTTTTTAGCTTCTTGTGGAATATCTTTTTTCTTTTTCTTTCTTTTTTTTTTTTTTTTTTTTTTTTTTTGATGCTCTGTTTATACGTTGATGTGTGTGTACGAGCTTAAAGTAGGTAGAATAATGGTATCGCATTTACTTTTCAATGGCTGAAATTTACTCCCCGGCGCTCACTAACTACTAACCAACCTTTGCTTTCCCGCCCCTTTAAAGGAATTAAATTAAGAACCCGCCCCGCAGAAAATTCTCATACAGAAGCGAATCCAACCAAACTACTCCCGTTACCCCATGCCCATCAACTCCTCTAATAACTAGCAGTTAGCTTTCTTTACGAACCCTCGGATCCAATCGAACAACAATTACAAACAATATGGACGGACGACTCAAAACATTACTTCATTCCACAGGGCGTCTCCATTTATTTCTCAAAGATAACATATGCCTCGACATGGTTAAATATTAATAGGATGGTGTCGGATGTTAAATGCTATTATCTCTTCCTGAAAGAGTGATAAGAAGATTCAAGTATGAATAGAGGGTTTTGAACGGGGTAATAAGGAGAAGAAGAAAAAAAAAAAAAAGGAGGAAGCAGGACAAAAATCAAAAAGGAGGGAAATCAATCAATCGTCAGAGATAATTTTTCGATATGTTAAAACAATGTTAAAGAAACGCCAGGAGATTTTTCAAAGGGGCGCAAACAAGCGACCAAATAAAGAAACAAAGAAATAAAGATGTTTCCAGCTCCTTCAAGCCCACGGTCTCCCCTCCTCTCCTTCCCCTCTCACTTCCACCCTCATCCCGCCTAAAAAACACCCCCTCAAATAAACCCCGCCTTAACCATCGCCTCCCGCTCAATCTGCTCCTTCTGCTCCGCCTCCTTCATCTCCCGCACCTTCGCAAGCACCACCTCCCGAAATATCTGCCCCCTAGCTGCCCGACTCAGACTCCTTTTCTTCGTCCTACCTCCTTCACCCGATGCCCCGTCAGTACTTGTCGCATTGGCACCAGCCGCACCAGCCGCACCAGCAGCAGCACCAGCAGCAGCACCAGCACCAGCAGCACCAGCAGCAGCGGCGTTGTTCTCATTATTCTCACCCCCACCATGCATCTTCCCTCTATCCAGAGCATCGTTGCCACCCGCAGCCGTCTCCGGCTTCGCCGCCGCCACACCCCCAACAGCAGCAGCCTCAGAGGAAATATTCTCCGTACTAGGAATATCATCCTCGTCCTCCCCCTGCATCCGCAGCGCCTCAATCCGATTCGCAAGCTTGATAATCTCAATCCCCCGCTTCAGGCGCGCCTTGGCCATGTACGCCTTCAGCTCTGGCAGCAGGTTGTGATCGCTGGCGGACTCGCCCTTAAGCCACGGGTGCGCCAGGGCTTCTTGGCTGGTGGCGCGCTTGGTCTGGTCCGGCTCGAGGAGCGTGTGGATGAAATCCTTGGCGTCTTTGGAGACGTCGCGCCAGTAGCGTTCGTGGAAGACGACGCGGCCGCTGAGGCATTCGTCGATGAGGTCCTGGAGGTTTTCGGAGCGGAAGGGCGAGTAGCCGGAGAGTAGTGTGTAGGTTATTACGCCCATTGACCACATGTCGACGGCCTTGCCGTGGCCTTGTTTTAGCATTACTTCGGGTGCGGCGTAGCCGAAGGAGCCGGCCATTGTTGTTAGGACCTCTGTGGGGTCGTCGAGCATTTTTGCGATGCCGAAGTCGGCGATGACGAGGGGGGAGTCGGGGGCTGGGGTAAGGTAAAGGAGGTTTTCGGGTTTGAGGTCTTGAATTGGGAGGAAGGTAAGGAGAAGGGGTTAGCGGAAACTGAAGAAAACAAAGAAAGGCATGTATGACGGTTGTCTTCACTAACCTCGATGCACAACATTCCGTTCATGCAAATAGTTCACAGCACCAAGGATCTGCTTGATAGTCTGGGAAGCATCCTTCTCGGTAAACTTCCCATATTCGCAGATCCTATCGAACAGTTCCCCGCCCGTCGCGAGCTGCGTAACAATATAATATTTGTCCTGTAAACCCCCCTCGTACCGTCAGCATATTGGCGGTAAGTCTCGCAACACACAGCCGCCGTATATGATCACGGAGCGGAAAAAAAAAAAAAAAAAAAGGAAGCTAAGAAACTAACCCGGGACTCGAACCAATCATGGAATCTGACGATATTGGGGTGATGCAAGCGCTGCAGCATGTCTAACTCATCGTATACCATTTGCTCATTGCCCTTGACGTTCTTTTTCAGGATGATTTTCACAGCTACCTTCCCGCTGGGACCGTCCGCCTCACGAACAATGCCATACGTGCCAGCACCCAAGGTCCTCCCGAATCGATATTGAGATCTGAACTGTGTGAGCCAGGGGTAGGGTGCGAAAGGAGAGAGAAAGGTTGTCATCTTTATGTTTTTTAGGAGATATTTGTTTCGTACTTCTTATCGTAGTTTTTGAGCTGGCCCTGCAGCTTGTTGAGCCAGGCTGTGTGGATGAAGTGTTCAAACGACGTGTCAGCAAAGACGGTTCAAGGCAGTTGATTGATTTGACCGTTCAGCAAAACCAGGGCGCATTGACACAAATTCAGGATGTGGAATGAAACAGAAAATTAAACTGCAATGGGCCCTTTTCTCAAGAACGATCCCTCAACCTGCATCCAAGTCGGTTCCATTGTTGTTTTTTGGATAATGTCGTCGAGCTCGCCTAGCTTGACTCGTCAAGAGCACGGTTCCCACCATTGGCCAGCAGTGGGAATTCCAGAGATGTTGGACATTCACAAGACAGGGAGAGAGAAGAGAAGAAACAAGAAAATGAGGTGTGATGGACAGGCAGACTGTGTGTGCACTTACCGCTCATGTTGGATCAAACTTCACGGGCTACTCTCTGCGTCGATTTGGTCGCTGTCGAGCGATAGGCGGGGGCGTTGCTTAAAAGACACAGTTGCAACAAGTGGCCTGGCCCAGCGGGGTGTGACAAAAGAACGAAAATAAAATAGACGTAAAGTCAGGCCCCCCAAACCAGAGTTATGGGGGTGTGTGTATGATCAGAGAAAAGGCTGATTTTATGAACTCGCGGGGATTGTTTGAGGGGGGGGGGGGGGGGTGGTGTGTGTGGTTGTCCAAAACACAGTTGCCAGCAGTTAAAAGTAAGTTTTCAACGGTTATGGTTCGTTCGTTGTATGGAAATCAGCCCCGCAGACTAGCCGATGAACCAGCAAAAGGTCTCAAGGTGAAACGGGCTGTTATCCCCTCCCCCTTTGTGCACGCAAATGGAGTACTATTGGTGGCAGCGGTGTTGGGGATGGCCGGAGACTGGGAGACTGGGACTGGAAGACTGAGATGGAAGACTGAGATGGGAGACTAGAGATGGAAGACCAGAGATGAAAGACCAGAGATGGAAGACCAGAGATGAAAGACTAGAGATGGAAGACTAGAGATGAAAGACTAGAGATGGAAGACTAGAGATGGGAGACTGGGAGACTGGGAGACTGGGCAGGTTTGGCAGCTGGAGAACGAGAACAAGTAGAGAGCGAAGGAAGAGAACCAGAAGAACATTGGGGTTATAGGCCCTGTCGCTCTGCCACTAGCTAGTAAAACATCTCCCCTCCAACCCCAGCAGCAGCAGCAGCAGCAGCAGCTGATGGAGCGGGATGTCTGTCTCAGAGGGCCAAGGGACGGACACCAAGACCCTTCCAGGGCTTTAATTCCTGAAGTCGCGAATAATAACAGGTAATAACTAACCTCGTTCACGGATGGGAAAATAACACCGGGCAGTTCAACGGATGGGAAATGGAAATCAACTCCAGGTCCCACGTAGCGCACTCTGCAGCGCACGCTCTCGACGCCGTTGGAAGGATGATAGCTAGTTACCCTCCTCCCTTCCGCGTGCTCGCTGTCGTTGGTTGAACATCTGCCGGTCACAGAGATAGATAGATGTATTGGCGGCGTAGTTAGCTAAGTAAGAACTAAAGAAATCGATCAGGCTACAAACCGCCAGCGGTTGCGCATTCGTTGGTTGCTCTCCAGCTGGATAAATAATTCATAACTTATTAGGAGGGGTCTATCTCCCTATCTATCTATATATATATATATATATATTCAGACGTCCCCGGCGCGTCTCTCCCGCAACCTCTGGCATCCACATCCACCATCCAAGTGCGTGCTCTCCACTCTCCACTCTCCACTCTCCACTCTCCACTCTCCACTAACCGCTATCCGCTATTCACCATCCGTAATTCCGACTGCGCCGGGCCCAAACAGACAGTTGCCGCCGCCTCACACCGACAAATCACAAGCTGCTCATCAACCTTCAGGGGTAAACTAAATATTTTTATACGTTGATCTTGCCAACCCCCTCTCAACCCCGCAATTCCGCTCGTCTTTCCTTGCACCCAACGACCGGCCCCGCCTTGTCTCTTTACCTTGCCTTGCAGGACATACCATCACATCGTCATCCATTTCCGACTTTCCGCACCTGGGCCCATCCATCAACGTTCCCTCCTCCCCTTCGTTGCGTTGGGTTCTGGTGTTCTGTCTCTCCGTCACCATGTTTGCATCCAAGCGGCTGAGCAAGGTAAGGCTGGCTGGCTGGCTGGCTGGCTCCCTCCCTTGAATCAATCAATCCCCTTCATCCATCGACGGCCCACCCACACTTATGCTGTTGTTCTCTCACGACGGTTTCAGCTAACTAGTGCGGACAGGAGCTCGTGAAGGTATTTTGAACTTCAACCCCTCCACCGAAGGAAACAGTCACCTACTGCTAGATGGAAACATATACCTGACAAGACCTGAAATACGAAATCACATTTTGACAGATGCAATCCTCCCTGCCCCCCGGAATCTCCATCGTCAAGGCAGAAAACCTCGAGGAATGGCAAATGGACATTCGTGTCCTGGACGAATCAAACCCGCTCTACCTCAATGAAACCTACCGTCTCAAATTTACCTTCAGCAAGAGCTACCCCATCGGTACGAGATATATATATCTTTTTGAATACCATCTTTCCCCATATCACTCCCCCTCTCCTCTACAACCGCCCCCCCCCCTCCCCGCCTTTTCTTCCCCCTTCTTCCCCCACACCACCAACTCACCACCCAAATTCACACAAACTAAACCTCCCAACCAACAGAAGCCCCAGAAGTCCAATTCATCTCCCTCACCTCCCCGCCCTCCCAAACCCCCCGCCCCATCCCCATCCACCCGCACATCTACAGCAACGGCATCATCTGCCTCGACCTGTTGGGCACGGCCTGGTCGCCCGTGCAGACCGTCGAGAGCGTCTGCATGAGCATCCAGAGCATGTTGGCCGGCAATACGAAGAATGAGAGACCCCCTGGCGATGCGGAGTTCGTGGCGATGAATAGGCAGCGGCCGAGGGATATTCGGTTTTTCTATGATGATTCGACGGTATAAGTGGGGGGGGGTGGGGGGTGGGGGGTGGGGGAGGAAAATGGGTATGAGGAGATGACGGGAGCGATCCCCCTCTGATATGTCCGAGGAGACCCTATTGTTCCTCCTGTTTTTGTTCCCTTATTTTTTTATTCCCGGGATCTGTTGCGCATCATTCACATGGTATTCATTTTTCATTCTCATCATTTCTCGTTGTCACTTGGACTTTTATCCGTTCTGCTTGCGCGCATCGTGTTTTATGACTTGATATGGTTTACGAAGTAGAGGTTCTTCTAAGGGACAGCATTTTTACATATTCTACACATATACATGACACAGATATACATACATACATACATTCATACATACATACATACATACATACATACATATAAAACAATTTACTTTCTCCACTCACGTTTTCCCTCTGCTGAGAAAACTCAAGGATCGTTGTGGATGAGGGGGGTGGCTTTTACTGTTTTCCCCCTTCCCCCTTGTCTTTGCTTCCCCGGATGCCACCACCCAGCAGAATCCTCAGTCCATTGAAGATCGGGACCTAATGCATTCCAACAGGAAGCAGTGGCAGAGGCATTCAATGCTAGAAGACCTATCGATACTTCCCAGACTGATTAAGTGTCGCTTGATACGGAGTACACTAGATCGCCAACCATCGCACTCCTCCCTCCAGGCTCTGAAGCAAGCCGACTCAGACCGACAGAAACATATTCCGCTGTATCATTGTGTTTCATTCCACCATCCAATTAATGTTTTCTGCAAATTAATTCTCAATAAATATATATTTGCTGCACAGACATTTGATTGATTGAGAGGGAGAAAAGGAAACACATAGACAGAAAAAAAAAAAAAATTTGAAAAACAGGAAAAAGAAAGAAAAGGAGAAAGGGGGGTAGAAGTACAGCCAAAAAAAGAAATCGAGATTTATATGCAAATCGAGGGGGAGGAAAGCAACAAGCACCGACGATGTTGACGAGAGGAGGCTGGCTGGTTTTACGCGGAGTGGGTGTGTGAGCCCTTAAGAGTCAAAGTTGGTTTTTAAAAGAAAAAGAGACGAAAGGAAATTGGTTCCAGTATTTGATTTCCCCCATTATCCCTTAGAGCTACTCAATGAAATCGAAAACGGCGTTTTTTTTTTTTTTTTTTTTTTTTTTTTTTTTTTTAAAAAAAAAAAAAAAAAAAAACCTGCCTTGATATTTTGTATTTGCTTTGCGCATTATCTGTCTACTTCACCGAACACGAGGTCCATGGTTCCTGCATGCGCATATAAAGCATTAGTATAGGATGAGAAGAAAAGAGGGCCAACGTAGGTTTGATGCTGAAAGGAATAATATAAAACTAGTGTAGGGAAGAGTGAGGAACATACCAATAATGGCAACAGCATCAGCGAGCAGGTGTCCTCTAGAGATCTGATCGAAACAGCTCAAATGGGCAAACCCCGGAGCACGGATCTTGCATCGGTATGGTCGCTCGCTACCATCGCTGACAAGGAAAACACCCATTTCACCCTTGGGTGCCTCGATTGCAGAGTATGTTTCGCCAGGAGGAACCGCATATCCCTTTGTGAAAAGCAGGAAGTGATGGATGAGAGCCTCCATGTTCTCTTTCATGGCAGCGCGGGGCGGCGGGGAGATCTTGTAATCCTCCACGCGAACGGGTCCAGCGGGCATCTTGTTCAAGCACTGATGGATAATGCGAAGCGATTGGCGGAATTCCTCCATGCGACACAGATAGCGGTCATAGCAGTCTCCATTGACACCCACAGGCACGTCGAATTCGACCTGGTCGTAGGCGTCGTAGGGTTGGGATTTGCGGACATCCCATGGAACACCGGAGCCACGGAGCATGACTCCGCTAAAGCTGTAATTGAGAGCCTCTGCGGCGGAAACGACGCCGATTCCCTGGGTTCGAGCTTTCCAGATACGATTTTCGGTGAGCAGTTCTTCAGTTTCGTCGATGCGGTCGCCGAATTGAGTCGCCCATTGGTAGATATCGTCTAAAAGGCCAAGGGGGATGTCTTGATGGACACCACCAGGTCGGATGTATGCTGCATGTAGACGGGCTCCGGAAACACGTTCGTAGAATTCCTGTAACGTGAGAGAGAGGGATTAGAACATCCCATAAAAACCAATCTTTTACTTTTAGGGAGAATATCAACATGGGCATACCATTAATTTCTCACGCTCCTCGAAACCCCACAAGAAGGGAGTCAATGCACCAACATCCATGGCGTGCGATAATACCGACATGAGATGGTTCAAGATTCTAGTGATTTCCCCAAACATCGTTCTGATCCATTTTGCCCGTTCCGGAATCTCTATGTTCAACAGTTTCTCCACCGCCAACGAAAAGCATTGCTCATTCGTCATCATCGAGACATAGTCCAACCGATCGAAATATGGTAACGCTTGCATGTACGTTTTATATTCAATCAACTTTTCCGTACCGCGATGCAGCAAGCCCACATGCGGATCTGCACGAACGATCTCCTCTCCATTGAGCTCCAGGATCAACCGCAGCACACCGTGAGCGGCCGGATGTTGAGGACCGAAGTTGACTGTGTAATGACGGATCTTACGACCATTGCCAACTTCGGACTCGAGAGCGGAGGGCTCCGCATATGACCCGGGAGGTTTGATGGGCTGATGTTTCGGGCCGCCCGGTGCGAAGTCTGGATCCGTGGGGATGAGTCGCGTGGGGCGGTAGGATGGGGTGGCATTGAGAGCAGACGAGGCAGATATCGATCTTAGCCCAGCAATTGAGGAGGCTCTGAGTGCGGAGGAAGACGAGGGGCCGAAATATAGCCTTTTCGGCGCATGGCGAGCCAGGAGTGTGAAGGAGGACGCCATGGCCGCTGGAAGGGTTATGTAGAGACACACGCCTCTAAGAGTTTGGTGTCTCGACCTTGACACGGTATATGAGAGGGAGGGCTCCCAAAAGCAGAAGCTCTTGGTCAATTGACTGTAGCAGCTTCCTGTCTGTCGGGGATGTCGTTGTTCTCTCGTTGATGTCGTTTGTTCATCAAATACAAATTCGGTGTTTGGTGATGTCACGTGGGAATTTGATCAGCAAGAATCGTTCGGCTGGTGATTGGCTGCAGGAGGATGACAAAGCGTGTTCTGCTGGAGCTTGGCGGAGTACGTAAATTCGTACCAAAATACAGGCAGGGAGGAGGTACCGCGGACTACCCCCAAAACCAATCAAAATTTATTGTCACTTGCCAAAAGGCAAAATATAAAAATAATATTTATCACCGCCAGAGGCCGGTGAGTAAAACTACAAAGCTGCACCCAGATATAGAGCGCAGTCATGGCGCCTAGAATAGCTTCTCTAGAAGAGATTAACGATAGAAAGGTAAAGCTTTTTTTCATTTGTTTTCTCATGTATTTTTCTGTTAAGTTTGCCGTTGATAAAGCTAACTTGGTACAGATTGTTGGCATCAACCGAGAAACAGTTACAAATATCACTTCGACAGATTTCCCCGGTCATTGGCCTGGCGAAAATCATGAGTGGTCTATTGAGAAATTTAGAAATGTGAGAGAAAATAAGAAGAAGAATGCTCTTAGCAATTCCCATCTTACTAACGGACCAATGCTTCCCGGTTAGAACCTCATCGTCACTTTTCACAAAAATGAACCCTACGAAGCTTCTTTCTCCTTAATCGGCGTCGATGCATCAATAGCAAACGCCTTCCGTCGCATCCTTATATCTGAGATCCCTTCCCTTGCCATTGAAACCGTCTACATACATAACAACACCTCCGTCATCCAAGATGAAGTCCTCGCTCATCGCCTCGGTTTAGTCCCCCTAACCGGATCCCCCGAGGGCATCAATTGGCTGCGCTGGTTCAGACAGCCAAATGAGGGCGACCCGTCCTCCGGCAGCGAGCTCGCAGATTACAACACCATCGTTCTCCATCTCAACGTAGAATGCAAGAAAAATCCAAAAGCGAGCCCAGATGAGCAGGATCCACTGAAGCTTTACAGCCACGCCCACGTCTACGCTAAAGACATCACATTCCAGCCCGTAGGCCGGCAGGAGGCATATTTCCCAGAACCCGATGGTGGAATCCGACCCACGAACCCGGACATTCTTCTAGCGAAATTGCGGCCTGGTCAAAAGATCGATATTGAAATGCATTGTGTCAAGGGCATTGGAGCTGACCATGCTAAATTCTCCCCCGTGGCGACGGCTTCATATCGTCTCCTTCCCGATATCCGCATTCTTCGACCCATCCTGGGAATGGATGCTGTGAAGTTCGCAGGCTGTTTCCCTGAAGGTGTCATCGGAATTGAGACTGTAACTGCGGAAGAGGCGTCACAGCGTGGAAGCGGGTACGAAGGCCACGAAGGCGCGAAGAAGGCTGTAGTTCTTGATCCCTTCAAGGATACTGTGAGCAGGGAATGTTTAAGACACGAGGAATTCCGGGGAAAAGTTAAGCTGGGCCGGATACGTGATCACTTCATCTTCAATGTTGAGAGCACGGGACAATTCAGGAGTGACGTATTATTCCTGGAAAGTGTGAAGGTTCTGAAGCTCAAATGCAGGAAATTGAAACGGGATCTAGCTAAGATTGTTGAGACACTAGAAGTTTCTTGATTGTCGAAAACATTTCTGATTTCCTTCTTTATTGCCCTTCTTGGAAAGCATTCTCAGGCGTTAGAGTCATGTATATCTTCAATGCTTTATTTCAATGGGGGCTAAACAGGTGAACAAAAGGCGTCTGAAATTATGATTTTATGCGATAAAATATGTTATAATCTATATAACCATCCATCTCGCTCCACTGTTTTTCATTGTAAGTTCGACGATATTCGCGTAGATACCATAAAAAGCAAAAGTTGTAGTATTGTATTGTATCATTTAAAGGTCATTCGGAATCGGAAATCAATTGTGTAAGCAGGGTCGCTTACAGCGACCTCATCTCCATCGTTAACAAGTTCTTTCAATTTTCGCGTCAAATTGGGCCTTGTATACTCTTCCAGTTGTCGTGGAGCACGCTGATAAAGCATCATTGCCGCTGATCTCAAGCTAGGAGATTTTAGCTGGGCTTCCGGAAGTTCCCCTAGAGACATAATAAACTCCTCCAAAGTCGATTCCGGATCTACGATGATCGGTTTGGCTGAACTGCCGCACACAAAGCAATCTTTTTTCTGCTCTGCAGTAAATGTGTATGTATAAACACCTTCCTCCCCAGCATACATCATATAGTTATCTAAATAGGGATTGCAAGTGGTTACAATCTTCAGCGCTTCCGAGGTGCAAGCGGCGGCAATCACGGCATTTGTGGAGGCGATTGCAGGGATGATGTTTTTTACAACGCCTTGGGCCATCGAGAATGTCACTCCGGGGATATTGAACTTTTCTGCCCGTTCCAATGCCGTGTTATAAATCCATGTAACATGTTCCATGTCGTCGCCGTCGAATTCTTCGCCCTGTCGCTGTTCTCCCCATGCAATCTGATGTGCCCACTCAATACAGTGCTGTGGCTGTCGAGGGATCGATGCAATTGTGCACAATGGCACTGCAGCGCGGGGTGCATGCATGTCGAGTTGGCACTCGATACATGAAGATAGTTTGGGAACGATAACCCGGACCTGTCCTTTGAACCCTATTTACCGTTTTACGTTTTTAAGCCCCATAAAGTCCCAAAAGGTTATATCTTCATTGAGGCGAGAAAGGGTTTCCGAAACAAACATACCTTCTGTTCCACCATCAATCAGAGGTTTCAAACTTTCAAGGTTTGATGTATCTACCATTTCAGCTAGAGTCGAATTTATCCAGCGTCGCGCCTCGACGCTGTCGAGCCCACATACAACAATTCTAAATTGCATGTAATAATCTTGATCCTTGTCTTGAATCCTCCCAACGTAAGGAGTAATCTTGACTCCTTTCACCCTTCGCTCCACAAAAGCTGCAGCGACTTCAGCCTTGGGCTTTCCCACATCATCCTGCCGGAATAAAAACTGCCGGTTCAGATTTGATATGTCGATGGTATCTGAAAACGGTTACTACCATGGGGTTGCTGAGGTGGATGGAACATACCCATATCTATAACATGGATGTCTTTAAATCCTGATAGTGCCAAGTTCTTCAGGATTTCACATCCTAAACCTCCAGCTCCTCTGGGAGGGTGTCAGCATAGCATCGCCAGCCGAAATAAGACATGAAGATTACTTACATCACCCTAAATCAAATTAGTGATCATTCAACAATTGAAGTCGTCTGGGTGGGTTTCAAGACAAAACTTACAGAATTTTAGAACTTTCAAGCCCTGCAATAGTTTCTGGGCCGGGAACCCAATCCTCGTCACTGAAAGGGCCCGCAAGGGTGAGAATTCTATACAGGTACTTCCTAGATGCCTATCAGTTATGAGATAGATATATATACCAAAGTGACTTTGGGGCACTAACCATCGCTGAGCCTCCCGGTTGGGAGGGTTTACAGAAGTGGACATAAAGAAATGGGATATCGAATGTCCGCAGTGTTAATATATATGTAATTCCAGAGAGATATCACCAATATCAACTTGAGTACAGCTGTATTATTTTATCTCCCCCACTTCGCCAATATCCAGGGAAGAGTATCCCTAGGTCGAAGGCAAAGTTGAAGTTAAAGTATCTGACTGAAATATGCTGTGTAGACTGCTAAGATTCTACACTTAAAAATCACAAAGGTGAAGACTGAGAGAGAAAACATATCAAGGGTGACTCTGTAGCAGTTGTTGTTGGTATTTGTCGCATAAACAGCTACTACCTCATCCTCTGGGCGGTGTTCGAGTCCAGGTGGTAGTGCCTTGGCAGATCACATGACATTGTTACATGCGACCTTCAAAACTATGTCAGCGCAGCAAAAAGGAGACTCCCTCCCCCCTATTATTCTAATGCAGTTTCACGCCATGTTGGTGAGGTGAAGCAGAGGGTATGGATGACCTTCTCAGTGTGAAGGCGGTTGAGAACCGCGAGGAGCTTGCGGTTTCCTTGCCTCCAAAGTACGTGAAGACACTGTCGCCGGCCAAAGATGTAGAGGACTTGTCACAGAAAAGCAAGATAACTTCTCCGGAAGAAGTGCTGCAAGTTCTCAGATCGTCTCCAGAGAAGGACCGTGTTGTTCAAGTCTTGAACTTCCTTGATCCTATTCGAACAAATGCAGATGGTTTCAATATTACTACTCCAAGTCCAGTAGCAGCTCAAATTCTGCACTCTCTGGTCACGATAACTATTCCCGACCATTGGAGTAGCCTAGGGAGTCAGAATGATACGGAGACACTCCCGGAAGGGGCCCGCAAAATTAACCCAAAAGCTGCATTGCTTAGGTGTTTGAGCAGTGTGGCTGGAATCGGTGTCCTTGTTGCGCAGCTGCGCTCGTTGCTTGCCAAACAGGATTACCCCCAAGGCGATAAGAGCTCTGGTAATAACCTGGCTGTCAGAGACCTTATAACGGTCTTGTCATCCGTTCTAAAACCCCTCGATTTGGTATTTGGTATCTACGTGAACATTTTGAAAACCATCCAATCGCCAACCCAAAAGCAGATCCTGTGGAAGGAACTCATTTCCCTGCTCGCTGCGGGCAAGGTGTTGTCAATTGCTTCTGAAGGCTTTCGAGCCATCAAAGACCTGAAGACACCTAGTTCGATACACTGGATTGGAGAGGGCAGCTCGTATTCTATGTGGCTCGGGCGATGTATTTGTCATATGACCTCCAACATCCAAATAACGGATTCAGACGCATGTAGTTATCTGGCTCAGTTTACGACTAGGGCATTGAGTCTCGGCTATACAGGTATTATAACCCCACCCCCCCCCCCCCTTCATCACCCAAATAAAACAAGTGACCCTGCTGAGAGTTTTTGCAATAGACCAGCTTGTACATGAGCTATATGATGGCTTGCTTCTTCAGGGGGATGCCTTGTCAGATCGGTTTGGTATCCTTTTAGATAATCTGCGACGCCATCACCTAATATTAGTTTTCAAGTCGGTATTGCATGACCTGGAAAAGAGCTATCTCCGCCCATTTCTGAGTGAGGCAGAAAGTCCATTGGGCGATCCCGATAAACAAAAGCTCATCAGCGGGATCGCAGCCCTTGTAGCGTTGATGGTCCGTGATCGTGACTTTCTAAGAGCCCAGTTGAACGAATGGCTTGCATCGGGGTTAGAGGTGAATATTGGTGGGATCGACTTTCGCCGTGCGCTCTTGGCGTCATATGGAAACCAACAAGGTGAGCGCTCAAAGTCGTAACACTGCATTTTGGGCACTAACCGCTGTTATCAGAGCCTCTACTGGAGATATTGGGAAAGGCTCTGGAGATATTCGGCGATAAGCTTTACATTAAGCATACACCAACGAGTGGACAAGAAGGTAAATACCTTCATTATGTGAGAGAGAGGTAAATTTTTTTAGTCTTAAAAACTCACGACCTTCAGCCAATACGCAGGTCATCCTTTTGGCAGCCGGATATGTCTGTCGGCTCAGCACAGATCTTCTCCGGCCCATCACACAATCAGGGACATACCTAAACGCAATCTCCAATCGTATCGCAGCCTCTTCACCACGAGCACGCTTCCTCGGGATGGTCGTTGGCATGTCCCTATCGAAGCTCGTCGATCTCCCAGGAAAGGAAATGAAATTCGATATTGAAGAGATGGAAGGCGAAGAAGCAAAGTGGTATATGAGCCTACCGAATGTAGAAGATGGAATCGGTTCTATCGATGACCTAAAACACAGAGACCCTCAACCGGCTCCTAAAATGCCAAAACGACATGTATCAAAGGTTCTTACGAATAAGCAGCAGGTACCAAGTCAAGCAACCTCAAAAAATCTTTCTATTGAGGAGATATCCGAGGAATCAGGAGACGATGACTTCCTCCCTTACGAAAAGCCAGATACGGATCCTTCGGATTCTGAAGACGATCCAACACTGATCAACCGATCGAAACCTAGTGCTCCTGTGTATGCTTCTCTCATACCATACTTCCACTTTTATTGATCCTGGTGACTTCTGATAGCTGATACGAAATACAGATATATACGAGATTTATTAGCTTGCCTGCGCGACACAGACAATGCTGAGCGTTATAACCTGGGGATCTCTACTGCGCCGATTCTTATACGGCGCAAAGCGTCCTTTGGTACGGAAGTTGCGGAGAACTCTAAGGCACTCGCTCTGACTATTACGAGTCTTCAGGACAAATACAATTTGCCAAAGTTTCAAGAGTACCAATTACAAAGCAAAATTGCATTGATGGTAGCTTACCCACTCACAATGGGCCCGTGGTTCGTGTATGCCCTTTTCAATGCCGACCTATCTCAAAGCCAGCGATCAACAATCCTCGTTGCACTTGGCCTCAGTGCCCGCGAACTAGCAGGGTTTGGGAAAGAAGACGCAGAATCCATGGGACTCTCTGCCGTTGCGAACTCTTCCTTCCCATCGAAGCGGCTTCCTTCGAGTCTTGAGGCCATCTATAGCAATGGAACCAACCCCATTGGTGCTCTATCAAAAAAACTTTCACAGGCTACCTTGCAACCTTTAGCTCTTCATGCCGCAGACTCATTGACAGGTCCGAACGCCTTGAAAGTCAGAACGTTCTCGTCACGCATTGAAGTGGAGAAGAAGAGGCAGATGAAAGAGCAGCAAAGACGACAAAAGGGCATACCTGGAGATCTACATAAAATTCTTTCCAATGGTTTCTATTTTCCTCTTACCAATGCCTTCGGAACAACAATGTATTCCACTTCGTAAGTCAAAAGTTTACTACAAAACCCTTTATTTTAAATCCCCCATCAACAGATATATTCACGCTATGATGTTCAATACTAACTTCAAACCCCTCCAGATCCAGCAGCGTGCACAACCCATTCCTAATCCCCCAACTTCTTCATCTCTTCATTCAAACTGTTACTCTCATTCTCTCAACTCTTGGACCAAATGCTGTGAACCTGGCCACCCTTACCAATGAAGCTCTCGCTCTACTCATGGCTCTACACAATCTACCAGTTGCAACGGAACCAACGGTGCTACCAACAATCCTATCCCTGTTTCTCGCCGTGGTAGACTTAAATATGTCTGCCGGCAGTATTGGGGAGGAGAAACTAGTTACCGAATTTGTGACGGAGGTGATGGAAATGCGTGAATGGGTTGACGGTGTGTTTGAACGTGCCTCGAAAGAAGATGAGGAGGTAAGGATCCTGGCTGCCGGCATCATGGTCAAACTTGGGGTAGTTACAGATAGGTATCAGGGTCGATTACTGGGGACGAATCTTGGATTTGAATACTGAAGGATCTAGATGTAGCCTAACTAGGTTGGCGAAAATTTGTTCGTGTAACTATGTATTGTCTAATCATAAGCAAGGTATGGCAATTGTGACCTCTAAGACCAAGGTTCTGTGCCACGATACCTAGTATCTAGCTCAAATCCGTCTCTCAGAAAGATAGACTTACTTCGTTAACTCCATGCTTTCTGTCGATTAGGAGAAGGCAAAATGCAGAACAATGCTCTACACCGTGGCACGAAAACTGATAATAAACATTGGGTATATTATTATTTAGTAGACTTAACAAACCCCTTTGTTTCAATCGCGGCTTTAACCATCCGATTCCCGCTTATAATCCCAGTCGTACAAATAACAATCCGTCGTCGAGCTGATTCCTTGCCCGCAATAAACCGCAACGCAGCAATCTCTGTAAACGTAATCCCGCCAAGAAAAAATATGATAACCGTCTTAACACCTCCCGTCCCTGAGAGCGTCTGTCGCGCCCTCGCTGCCTTCTCATCGGCCTTTTGGACGATATTGAACGTGGAACCTCGCGCACTTTTTACAACATCTTCGAACCCTAGCCATGCAGGGGACGAAATGCTGGTCGATGCTCCTGCAGCGGGGGCGGGAGTGCCTTTTGTGAGAGATAGGATATATGGTTTCTGCAATATGCATTGGACGAGGCGAACGCTCAGTGGGGCATAGCCACTATATACGTATGCGATGTCGTCCGGATTTTGTTCGTTCACTTCATCAACGATAAGTCGTAGACTTTTGCGAAGATAGCTATAATTGGTTTTCAAGCCTGCTGGGCCACCTCCAGTCGAGAGTAACATGGCGGTCGCAGAAGACCGCGCCTGCAAGAGCTCCATTTTCTCAAGGGCGTGGAGGGTTAGAAGATGTTGGTAGCCATACGCCTGCAATATCAGCTTCTTGAAATTTTCCAGATCCTTCGGTCGCATGCCACCAGACATGCAGGACTCGAGACAGAGTAGTCGGAGAACGGTATGTATGGGAACATGCCGGGCGATGAGTTCCTCGATACTATCATGTTGGTATATTGGATCTGTCCCTGCTGCTATATTTTGTTGAATCTCAAGGGTTTTTCTGAAAATGTCAGAACGGGTTTGCTGCATAATCTCTTCAGCGAGATTTGTGTGTACTTTAAGACTGGTGTGTTCCGCCTGGTATGCTGGTAGTTTATTGACAAATTCTCGGAGTTCAGAAGTTGACTTGGCGCCATGGCGACTTTCATAGTCACTCTCTAATCGACGAGCGACTTTGTTTAATAGACCTCCAACTATAGCAAAATTTGCATTTCGGAGTTGACTGAACAGGTGATCCGATGAGTCCAGTTGTATTTTTCGTTTTAAACCCTGTTTCTGAGTCCCGGACGATGTACCTGACGACGTTCCTTGGGAAGATGAGGGAGTAGGAGCAGAGGGGCCGATGACCATAGCGTCAACTTCTGTTTGATTATGTGAGATTTCAAAAAATTCATCAAGGAGGCCTTCGTATGTCAGCTGGGTGAGTAGAACCGTTGCGAAATCTACGTCTCGGTCTATAATGATCAAACTTTCCGTCATAGAGCTAATCATAAGGCCTCTCCCGGCTCCATCGTTCATACCAGCGGTTTCTTCAGCATCGAGTTCCTTTCTCATTCGCAGTAACTGGTCTGCTAGTTTTCTCGCATTGTCTCCCTTTCCAATAATGCGAGGGAAGAAACCATGCCGCAATTGAAGATTCATCAACGCCTTTGCAGAAAGATAAATCGGGCCTATGTCCTTGTGCTAAAAAAATTGTTAAATTGTTAGCTTAAGGAGGTTATCAGAGACAGGAAATTAACCTCACATACCAGATAGAGATCAGGAAAGGAAGTGTCTAACTCTAAGGAAAGGATGTCGCTTTCCAAGGGTAGAAAATAGAGAGGAAATTCCGCGATATTGGCATCTCCGATAATGCCATCATCTTCTAAAATTTGATTACAAACAAGCGTACGGCGAGGGACCCAAAATATGGAGAATTCATGTTCGACAGTACCATTCCGTTGAAGCTTTCTTATTTGGTCTGAGGGGCATGTCAGTACATTTTGATGGCCATAAACCATCGGGAAAGCAAAAAGGCGATTAAAGCACAAGGGATGTATGTGCTACGGAACAGATCGATATAGGGGACAAGACTGACAACGGAGGGTGAAAAAGATAAATCTCCGAAGCCTCCTGTGATGGCCCAATGACGTATTGGTCTGAAGGAAAGGTCAAAGCAGGCATGTATAAATTTACTACTTGAAAAAGAAAAAAAAAGGTAAAAGAAACGAAGAGAATAAAAGAGATAGAACGTAGCATAATATCTTACCGGCGGTGGATTGTACTTGAGCAGGCTTTTCAGCATGGACAAGGAAGACAATATTCTTCTGGGAAGAATCGGTATTTCCATTCTCAAGCAGAAACACCCGGTCGACTCCATACTCCTGGAGAACCGAAAACTTAACAAACAAGCCAACCGGTCCAGCCAGGTCCTTGCTAATTACAAGGTTCTTTTTGCCTCGAACCTACATATTCAATTAGTACACATCTTTACAGTTAGTTAGAACGGTGTTCGCCGTACTCACACCTTCGAGAAGATTCAGCAAATCCCTCCGTGCCTTCTCTTTTATATACTCTGCTTCTGATCCTGGATCCGGTGCCATTGTGCCGGGCAGCTCGAACAGCTACTCTATCTATACTGCCCACAGTCAATCAGTGGTTGGATGTTGAAGGTCTTCAGCTGAGTTGCAATATCACGTGACTTTGGATCTTGCACATTTCCGGTTTAGCGTTGCCGTTGCCACATTTTAACCGTTTCTGGCTTAGCTCGCGCCTTCCAAACACGAATGCACTGCCACATTTACAATCACGTGATAGTTACAGATAAGTCGACCTTAAGCTTCAGGTTTCAACAGTGTTTGAAATTCCAACAACCATCATTCTGCTTTTCCCTCCTGTTGATTCTTAGAATTCTTAATAAGCCGATTCATTCTTCACTTCTCCTCTCCCTGACCTTCATTATGAAGAAGTTTGGCTTTGGCAGCAAAAAGAACGATGGTGGAGACGATGAGAGCACCCGCTCAGCGCTCTTTGGTTCTAAATCCAAGAACAAATCGTCAGCAGCCTCAAATCCATACGCGCAGCCACCACCATCTGGCGATCCATATAGTCAAGGACGTGGTCCTGGTGCGGGTGGATATGGACTCCCCTCAGGGCCCAGGCAGTCTCATCCGGGGATGAACCCTCCCGGCCTTCCAGCAAACCCAGCACCGAGAAACCCCTACGAGAATCTAGATAATAAATACGGTCGAGCTAATGGCGGTTATGCACCTGGAGGTCCAGGATATCAAAGCGGATATGGGGGAGATAGGTATGGAAGGGATGATTCTGCTCCGGTAGCTAAATCTAGATATGGTCCTGGTGGCTACGGAGGACTTGGGCGGGCCGATCCCAACGATTTCGCTTCCATCGATGATAATAGAGACGCTCTTCTAGGAGATGCCCGAGAACGGATGCAGGAACGGCGTTACAACCCCGCTCTTCAGGATGTCCCACAGGATGGGTTTAGCGGAGCGGCTGCTAATGACGCTGACACTGCATACGCCCCGACTTATCAAGAGAGACAACTCACAGCAGAGGAGGAAGAGGAAGAAGATATACAAGCAATGAAACAAGAAATCCGGATGGTAAAGCAACAAGATGTCTCATCTACCCGCAATGCCCTCCGAGCAGCATTAGAAGCAGAAGAGACAGGTCGAAACACACTGATTCGTCTTGGAGCTCAAGGAGAACGAATCCATAATGCAGAAAAGAATCTAGATCTAGCCTCAAACCAAAACAAAATCGCGGACGAAAGATCCCGTGAATTAAAAAAGCTAAACAAAAGCATGTTCTCCATGCATGTTTCCAATCCATTCACGGGTGAACAACGTCGACGTGCTCGTGATGAAGCTATCATCGAGCGTCATCAGGAAGAGCGTGCTCAGCGAGAGGCCACTCGACAGGCTGCGTTTAGAAGTGAACAGCGCATGGACCAGACTTTTAAGGGTTTAGCGAAGAAGGCCAACAGTGCCCCCCAGAAAGAAACTCGACTTGCCGACCGCGCGAAATACCAGTTTGAAGCTGATAGTGAAGATGATGAGATGGAAAATGAAATCGAGTCGAATCTGACTGCCATCGAAGGTGTTACTGGCAGGTTGAATATGCTTGCTCGGGCACAGGGCAAGGAAGTTGAGCAGCAGAATGAACACTTGAACCGTATCATGGGGAAGGTATGTTCCTTTCTGCCCCAGATAGCAACGTTCATTTTGTTCCATGTATATGCAGGCTAACAAACCAACAGAGCGATTATGTGGACGATCAAATCCATATTAACAGCGCCCGTCTGGGTCGTATTCATTAAAACATTCTCTTCCCTCGATCCAGACACGCAAACGTGTAATCCCATTTCATCACGTCCAAGTATTTGCCAGTTTCGCTGGATTCCAAAGCATACCCATATTTTCAAGATACCGTTATCCACAGCGTCCCTTGCTAGCGTTAATCAAAGTCCTGTCTATATTCAGCATCCTCCTTCCCCTTCTCATGTATCTAGCATTATACCTGCATGTTCCCCACTCGGCGATATCAAAATCCCCCTCACTCGTTTATCGTGGACGATATAGACTCAGTTTTTTATTCATGTTGGTTTCTCGATATGCTCTTACTTTATATGAGGATTTTGCGTGCCCAATCACATATTGGTCATGTTACTCTAATATACCCCACCCACCACTTATTATGTAGCAGGCCTCAAAAATTCCTTTTCCATCTCCCAAAACATATCTAGGAATGCTTCCTTATCTCTAACATGCTGAAGCCTTAACTAACATTGTGATGAAATCCACTTGCCAAGGTAATTCTCTCGTCAAGAAGTGGGACAGCTGCTTCCCTGCTACAAGAACCTCACTACGTCGACACGGACCATTCTATAGAGATTGATTTCATCCGTGAGAATGGCCCGAATCGAGTAGCTGGGAAGCGAGCTCGAGTTAAAAGACTTCTTTATTGCCACTCTCATCAATTACGACCCATTCATTCCTTCCACGAAGCCAGTATTTTTTTTTCATTTTTTTTGTTTTCATCATGTAATATGTTCCATTGCCAGGAAGATAATTAGAATTCCAGGACTTAGACCGCTCTGTCACTACCCCAGCCCCTCCATCCAAACCTCATGAATCTCCCCTACGAAATCACCCGCGAGCAGAGACATAACCAAAATAACGGATAAATCTGGGATGCAATAATTACCCAGGAATAGCACTCGGAATCTCGTCAAGCATAACCTCCATCCATGCAGGGCCAAGAGCATTCTGGATATTAGCATCCCCATCTTCCCCACTGTTATCAGATCCAATGTCAACATCATCCCTGTTCCCTAGGCTTCTCAGAAGTGGGATATCCATATCTAGGAAATCAAGGTTTACGTCACCGAAGTTATCCTGGGAAGCCATCGGGTAGGCGGGGACTAACTGGTCGACTTGAGGAGCCAGTTTGTTGGAAACAGAGAACTGGGAAGAAAACCCAGGTGTGGAAACTTTCTGCTGCTGCTGCTTCTGCTGTTCTGGGTTTGGGAGCTCCACCAAGTCGTTGATATGACAGTATACGTCTGTATTCATAGTAGCTGGCGGGTCATCCGATTGTTTATATGCCCGGAGTTGCTGTTGTTCTTGCCTCTGCTGCGATGGAGGTTTCAATGATGAATCCATAGGCGGTGGGAGATCTTTCATCCGAGATTCCACTGGGATGGTTGCTTCCACGGTTTCGACAGATGGGCCACTATCGTCTTTCGGACGAAACTCGCGAACTAACGAAGGTAAATCTGCATCTCGTGGAAATTGCCCTCTTGCAAAGGCGATGTCCAGTGACAATGAGAGCCGTAGGTACAGACGCGGTTGTCTAACCAAGACCTCCCCCCAGCTCTTCGTACCATTTTCAGCAGCCTTATCACTATTAGATCGCTCTGTCAAAGCGGTTGATGTATCTGTATCCCCACTGACGTCACTGTCGTCATTAGTCGAGTTTGACACCACATTTGCTCCTGCGCTAGCCAGGAAGGATACCGTGAGGTTTTGGCTCTCTGCAAATTTTAGGACTTGCTGGATAAGAAAGGCAACGTAATCTGTGCCATCGTAGCGGTTTCGGTACAGTTGCATAATCTCAACGTAATAGCCCAGTTTGCGCTTGTGCGTTGCAGATTGGGATGTAGTTCCAGATAATTTAACATCAAGGGCATTTAAAACTAGCGGGAGAGCAGTGTAGGCAACACTATAAATATCAACAAGTCAGCATAATAACCTATTTGAATAGCGAAAGTAGTGAGTTTAATAGAATCCTAATTTTGCAAAAACATTAGACGTACGCGCTTATGGGAAGATGTCGTGCCACTCCACGCATCAATAGCCGTTTAACCGATCTTGTGATTCCCAATGCTGCCTCTTCTAGTTCCTCTTTAATTCCCTCTAACCGTTTACTATAAGTATCTGCGATAAACCTTTGATGAGCTTCCAAGGTGAGGGTCTCGTTGTGACACAAGGCCAATCGACCAGTACTAAAATGCCAACTGTAAGCCAACATAGGCGAGAATAACGGAGCGTAGTAATAACGGAAAAAAGATTAACTCACTGGAAATACATGAACGTCAGGTTGGAATAAAGTGTGACGGATTCATGAACAGTATCCGATTCAAGGATGGACCCAAACGACGCTTCGGCATCATTCGCCCACTGAGTGAGGCTATCTCTGATATCTCCTTTCTCCCTTATGGCCGTCACAAATTCCTTCTCTGTCAGCACTATTGGTTGGGAGAACCCATGGGGCCGGTATGCAGTCATTATAACATCAGTTAGCACAATAGCCAGCTGGCACTGAACGCGCATGACATTTGCAAGAAGTCGTTTTGTTTCAGGGTTATAAACTTCAGAGTTATACACCTCGTCTTCGAGATCTTCCTCGGACAAACAGTCAAGAGGCTGGTCAAAATTTTGTGGGGTGATCTGAGGATGCCGGCGAAGCCCCAGAGGCAGAATTCGGTCGCGAAGTATAATGGACCACCACAACCGTTTCTTTGTCATTTTTTGAGGATCGTTCTGGTTAGATTTGCTATTATATAAATGGACACCATGAAGAATCGCATTTTGTATAGCAATTGTAAGCCACCGACTCCCGGCATGGAAATCGGTATGTGAGCTTTGGTAGGTCAGGAGAATTGAACCCTGCGCCTTCGCCAGAGCATCGTTTTCGGCATCCAGGTCAAAAAGAAGCTGTATAGCATACATAAGGTCCTGTTCTTGTAAAATACTTACAGAGAGTTCACAATTGCATACCTTAGCTCTGCGGTATAAAATATTGCGTGCGGTTCGATTGTCGGCGAAACCAGCAGATTGAATGATATCAGACGGCACGAACTGCGAAAAAAGAAGATTAGCAAAGCTCATTAGGATAATTAAGCCGTGAAGAGATCCAGAGTGATGCCTTACTGCACAACTTGCAAAGAACATTGCCTGGACAATGAACAATGATATGGCTCGCGGTTTGGTTGATCCTTCAGTTCGATTGGAGTACATACTCCAGAAATCTGCCTCATTCAATATTGGCAGACAGGGGTGGACATGGAGGAAATATTGACGGACGAATTCATGGAGGATTGGCGCAGGCGGTAGATGCAGACTACCTTTCATCTCCAGATATTTGACGTCTTCCGTCGAGAGCGTGTGAAGATTACGCAGTTCGACAAAACGGTAGAATGAAAATATGACACTTGAAGCTCCATTTGGTCCATCTGCAAAAGAGGGTAGGATATTTCTGGGGATCTGGGGATTCATTCCACCGAAATGTTCAAACCCGAACTCCTCTGGAATTTGTTAGCTGTGTTTTTCTGGAAATATCATTGTAAATCTCAACAGAGTATTTAGAAACGAAATTAGCAAGGCTTACGTTCTGCTCGAATATCGCAGAAAAGGGAAAGGGAAGGTTGTCGCGCAGGGTTGACATAATGAGGGAAACCAGGTTGCGACACGATTGATTCCATCAGCCTCATTCTACTAGTCGGATGGGATTTGTGCAGCAGAGCATCGGTTTGGAGATGTGCATCTGTCCATAAGATCTGTGATCTCACACCACGTCTATAGAGCTCTATGTCAGAGCATCCTCATGCCGGTAAAAGAGGTCGATCAATCTGCTTACCCTGGACAGGCACTTGACCTAATAGAGCACTCGTGGCCATCGAGCCGACAATTCGTGCAGGGACTTCCATGAATAGAGACGTCGCAACGAACTCTACGCTCATGGCACAAGGTGCATGCCATCCGGGCCCGCTTCCGCGGACGTTGTGAAGGTTCCATTTGTGAGGTTGCTGGATTGGGTGGTACAAATTGCAAATGTTGGGATTCATGAACAGAGGGTTAACTAGCTCCAAAGTCCGAATTGCATCTCCATAGGAGAGACCCGTGGCTACTTGCGGGGCAACGAGGCGGCGAACAAACTCGCGTAACCAGTGGAGAGAAGAGGAGGGGTCCAGACCAGCGAATAGTTTAGAGCATTCTCGGAAAATCGTGGGATATATGCAATGACACCAGCTCTGAGATATGAGGCAGGAAAGCTCTCGAAGGAGAAAGAGGACGACGAAAAGTATTATTACAGCAAAGGCACATTATATCATGCCCAGAACGCCAGGGGCAGATTTGTTGAACCCTAGCGCCGCCATGTCAGGGACTCTTGGAGGATCCAGACATGAAAATCTCGCGCAGCATGTTGAGGTATCTGTTCCTTTCTCCCATCTGACCCGAATATTCCAGTGAGTCTGGAGAGGTCTATCACCCGAGCACCACATGTTATGTGCTTCTGCCGTAGACCGGGAAGCTGGAATGGAGTCATTTCTCCACCGCATTAAATCGGGACGGTCTCTCACATAAAGTTCCCCGCTACTAAATTGCGTCCCTCGAGATGCCCCCGGATTTTCGAGGTTTGTCCAAGCCGAGTTGGGGAACAACATGGGACCACCACAACATGGAGAGCGAGGCCCACCCATTCAATGGGCTGCAGCACCAGCAGATTTTGAGGAGGTAGGGACTTGGTTGACCCTCTTCTCCAAATTGCCTCCTCGTCTGGAGGAAATCTGCGACCCGACTCATCACTCTACCCGCTTCCCAAAAGACTGGCGTGGCGCGGCTTTGGGCAAAAGGTTCCTCTTCGATGATTGCCAGGTCAATCGAGAGTTTTAGTTTCGTAAAATCAATGGGCCCGAGGACGCATTTGGCGCAGAAACACCAGAGTCCCGGCCTTTAATTTCATATGGTAACAGCACCTCGCGATAATTAGCTGGGTAGTTTAACTAACTAGTTAGTTAACTAACTCCGATAAGCGAGGTGGTTGCAGGTTCTGAACATGGGGATGAGAGCGTTCCAGATGATTGGCAGCGGACTTTCACCGAGCGAGTTTACGCCAACAAATGGACGAGACCAGGATATAACTAGCTGCTCTGTTGCTCATAGACCCATAGACCCTCTCACTATATTTGCCTGTATAGTATAACCCTCATATTAGCACCACTTGAGGCATGTCCCCTTGAAGTCGAGGAGACGTGCGATTCCCCACAAGACGATCAACAAAATCCCAACCTGCTGGGACTGGCGTCAGCCGGCTCTTGAGCTGAAACTGCACCTGATGGTCGCAAGATTCTGTCTACTAGAAAGCAAACCAGCCATTTTCGCAACCTGTGGCTGACCCAAGCGGATCTCAACATGGACGGATCTTCGGATCAAAACACTAGAGTTTGAAGGCCAATGGCTCTGCACCTGTCGCGGACATTATATATATGTTGTTTTATCCAGACGGGAACCCAAGGGTTGATTGTGCACAATCCACAGCTAACTCTTTTTGCACTTCTTAGACTCATCACTGAAGAAACTTCCATGGATGCTTGCGTTGAATTGAGCCAGAGGTTCGGAAGTTTGGCATCGGATTGGCTCCATTGGTTGGTGACCAGTGGTTAAGGTTGGTTAAGACTTCTTTTCTCCCCTTTAATAACAGGATATCATAATCACTAATATTTTCAAGTCAACCTTGGAAGGATTGTTCTCCCTTATGCAAATTTCTCAACAACCACGACTGAAAAAAATAATGCACTCTGACGCCTAAGCTATTCATGATTCCTCAAAAGGACAAGCCAAATAAGCACCAAGATGGAGGAGCTCTCTCATGGATTACCTAGAAGTATATCTTCATCAGGCAGATGTGGCGGTATAATAACGAATCGTCGTGTTTTCGGTCTTCTGGTTCTGCTTCAGAATTTCCAATCACTATTATGGAGATATCCGAGTGCCTTCTTAGCACAGGACCTTGACAACTGCGTTCTGTTCATATTTGTTCTGAATATACCAACTTTCTCCCATCACCAAACCGTCAAAACAAAATAACAGCGCTTTTCATGGAACCCATTGCGGAGATTAATATCTGCCAAAACCTCCTGGAAGTCTGTGTGTGGCGTGTTTATAGACCTAGCCTACGCCACGGAGCCGACAGCCTAGATAGGGAAAAATTGGGTTTGGGATTATCTCAGATTCGTTCCTCCATTAGGGCTTTTCTCTGTTCAGAGCAGCGCGACTCGATTTGCAGTATCTTATCTTAACCGTTTGAAGTTTTTTTTTTCCTTTCTTTTTTTTCTTTTCTTTTTTTTTTGGGTTTGATAAGGCGTGATTGCAAGAATCCAACTTGCATGAACCAAGGGCAAGGTGATTGACAATAGAGCAGGATTACACCAAATGGGAGCAAACCGACGAGGGGCAACTTTTCTATTGAATCCTGAGCTCCTGGCCCCTTGCTCCTATCGAGCGTCAAAGGTAAATCCCAAGGAAGAATCTGTATACCATGTCAAGCTCCTGGGATACTTGAATCATTCAACGGAGGTCCTTGTTCTGAAAGAAGCTGATCGTGGCAGATGCAAAGGTCATCCCAAACTTCCAGGGTTTGTGAACATGTACTAGAACTGGCAAAATTGGTTTAAAGGAGGAATTCGAGCAGCAAGTGCCGCTCTCCGTACTGTGTCTCACCATAGTCAGTACGGATGCCAGGACGAGTGATATTGCCTGTCCCGGCGGAGGCAGAGGGGATTCAATATTCTGTCTATCAGTATTCAATATCTTGTCAGACCTGAAGATTTATAACCCGCTAACACTTAGAATAGCATTGATATAAGGTGGTTGCTCTGCAAGCGGATATTCTGAAAGTAAACAGGATTTTTTGCGCCCCTGCAAAAGCAGATGATAGGTTAAAGCTATCTAAAATACTCCCTCTCAACAATGGAGAGCAAATTGCAAGCCGTCTAAATGCTCAAATTACCCATCTCACCCCCCTTCTCAAGACTAATTCAAAATACCAATTGGACAACTTGATCCGGAGTATCTGGATCCCAGCGTACGTTCCCCATCATCCCTCGGAACGAACATATAAAATCGACCCGATACCATCAGGTCAACATTCCATATGAAAGCCTTGCGTAGTTTAGCATATTTCAATCAGAAATGCAGAGTGCATACATGCAGATATCCCACAGCAGATAGAGGACTGTGTACTCACGACATAACACATCCCCGTTGACACTGTAGAAGACTCAACCAAGCCTCACGCCTGTTCCCGCAACAGAGAGATGTTGTTCAAAAACTCCCCCTGGATTCTAGCTATTCAACAAAATGACAAACAGCCACAATAACTCTCAGATAGATGTCCTCGATATTTATCCAAAGAACTACCGTGCCAAATTCTTCCTCAGTGACTTCAAAGCTTGGCAAATTTTTCCATGTCGTTCCGGAGCTATTGACGACGATATTGAGCACTCCATATTTCGCCTTTGCTAGTCCATGCATGCACGCACAGTTAAGATTCAGTAAGGACAGCATTGTCACAACCCAGAGCGTCTTTCACTTCTATATTTTGAACTACCCGTTCTCCAGCATCAGCTGCAATGTTTTCAAAGGGGATATTGGTACCTTCAAAAGTCGTCCTGGTGATAGCTTCTCCAAGCCCAGATGTAGCGCCGTAACAATGGCGACTTTACCTTCGAGACTACCCCCTGGACGGGTGGGTCTACGCGAGTATGTATGTCATTCAATTCAAATTCAACAGCAGGACGAGGCCAGGGCTTTGCTTTATAGAGATCAAATGCTTATAGGCCCTGTCGATCGTTAATCTAGTTAATACGAAACTTCATTCTTGGCCTGCTTGTTCACAGTTCAAAGTTGTCCAGAGTGATGTTTGAAGTACCACCACTTCGCCACTCAATTTCCAGTTGTTTTATCGTATCCCCAAGTTCATTTCAGAGCCCTGCCGGATGATATACATTTGTGAAAAATTTGACTTCTTAAAACACGGGTCAAAGTCTCTGCTCCCTAGGGTAGGGTAAACTTTGGCGGTTGCGGTTGAAAATCAAACCGGAGGCGTGCAGGCGTGCAGATGTGCAGACATTGCGAGAAAATCGACGGGAAAATAATCAAAATAAAAATAAAATAAGGTTCCAATTCGCCAAAAACCAGCCTGTTAATTTATATCCTTAGAACTACTTGGAGGGGAAAGCTGACCCAACCTGCGTTTGCGATATAACTGTATATTAGACATTTTTATATCATGAACTTGATGTGTGAGTGGTTGGACATAAGAAAGGCTTTGGGTCCGCTAGTTCGACTTTATGAAGTTTTTATTAACTGGGAGGAATTGATGCCTGTCCCGGAGAATCAACATAAGCTCTTCCCTTCGGCATAATGCAAAAATGTATTGGCGAATTGCCGCGGGCAACTAAATAAATATACTTTTTCTGATTACTTTTGTTCTCTTTATTCATACCAACAAAAGGATTATTCCCTTGTCCGGAGCTCTTCATGCATGCAAAAGAGCTCACAGAAGACGACGTATCTTTGCTCCGGAATCACCAGGTCTCATTTCCAGCCTGAGATCATCTGAAGGTTATCTTCAATTTTGCCATGCCGCACATAAACACACAAATTGCTCTTGTAGATACCCATAGCCAGGCTTCCTCATGGTCATGTAATTAGACGAGCAAGTTGCCGGAGTCCTCACGCAAGCAAGTTTGTATTCAATACTTTATTTGCAAGAGTTTGCCTTCCATCCACTGCTGAAATTCTTCTGCCTTTTGCTCTTGATCTAGTGTCTCTCATTTTACCGACCCCGTCTGGTTGGTGAAATCTATTCCAAAGAAATCTAATCGCTGAATTATTAACCATGGCTCTTCCTACTGAGTGCGACGTGCTTGTTGTTGGCAGCGGCAATGCCGGTTTCTCAGCTGCGATATCAGCTGCTCAGTCGGGAGCAAAGCGAGTTGTCTTAATTGACAAATGTCCCCAGGAGTGGGCGGGGGGGAATTCCTATTTTACCGCCGGTGCCTTTCGAACGGTTTTCTATGGTCTACAAGACCTCCTTCCAATTGTGAATAACGTGGATCAAGACACCGCAAGCATCATCGATATGGAACCCTACACGCCCGAGGACTTCTCCGATGATATGTCGCGTATTTCCGCTGGAAGAGGGGACCCCCATCTTAGCCGCGTGCTGGTTCAAGACTCCAATTCTGCTGTGAAATGGCTTGCGCAAAACGGGGTAAGATTCCAGCTGTCATTCAACCGGCAGGCATATAAGGTGGATGGCCGGTACAAATTTTGGGGAGGTATGTCGCTGAAGACGGAGGACGGGGGTAAAGGGCTCATTCGTGACCATCAGATGGCTGCTGACCGCCACGGGATTCTGGTTGTATATTCGACTGCTGCCAAAAGATTAATCCAGGATCAAACTACGGGAGCCATTTGCGGCTTGGCTGTTGAGCATGGAGGACAGGAGAAGATTATCAAAACGCCAGCAGTAATCCTTGCGGCTGGCGGTTTTGAAGCTAATCCTCGCATGAGAGCGCAGTATCTTGGACCTGGATGGGATATGGCATTGGTCCGCGGCACCCCCTACAACGTTGGCGACTGTCTTGAGATGGCTATACGAGATGTATCCGCCAAGCAAGCTGGCAACTGGTCGGGGTGTCACGCTGTAGCCTGGGATGCCAATGCTGCTGCCCACTCCGGTGATCGGCAGGTATCCAACGAATTTACCAAATCAGGTTATCCCTTAGGTATCATGGTAAACTTGAACGGTGAGCGGTTCGTCGACGAAGGAATAGATCTGCGAAATTATACATACGCCCGCTTCGGAAAAGCTATCCTCGCTCAACCGGACCTCGTTGCATTCCAAATCTGGGATCAAAAGATGATCCCCTGGCTCCGCAAAGAGGAATATCGAAAGGAAAGAGTTCACCATATCACGGCAAATTCGGTTGCGGAACTGGCAGAAAAGTGCTCTCAACATGGACTACAGAACAAGGAGAAGTTTATCGCTACCCTCACGAATTTCAACACGGCAGTTTATCAGCACAGAAAGGAGAACCCTGCTGTAAAATGGAATCCGGCTGTGAAGGACGGCTTATCAACTCAATCCAAGAGTTTATATCTCGATCTCGCAAAGTCAAATTGGGCCCTGCCTATTGACCAAGCCCCTTTTCTCGCTGTCAAAGTCTCTTGTGGAATCACGTTTACCTTTGGCGGACTTGCTGTGAATCCGGAGACAGCAGGAGTTATATCTTGTATCTCCAACAAGGAGGTCCCAGGCCTTTACTGTGCAGGCGAAATGCTGGGTGGCTTGTTCTACGGAAACTATCCCGGCGGGAGCGGATTAACGGCCGGAGCGGTGTTTGGACGAAGAGCTGGTGCAGCAGCGGCAGCAGTTACTGCGTCCAGCACTTCAGTGAAGCTCGGATGTCTGTAGCAGTTGGGAAATGCCGTTATTGCAGTCCGTCAAGTGAGGGAGGTTTATTATCAGTGAACTTGCTATCCGTCTTCTCCATTATGTAGCACATTTAAAGCGTACGTATACAACCTGGTTATTATATACAGCACCAAGTATTTAGATAAAAAGATAACGAAAAAGATAACGTATAAACAACTACCACCGTTTTTAGCTGAGATTCACCTGGCCATTATTTATCTATCTTTGTTGCACCGCAATACAGCCGTAAATCCATATCAGGTCAATTAAATACTGAGTGTCCAAAGTTGTCTTGGACATCCCGCATCCATTTCATCAGTTTTGTGTTAATTGTAATTGTGACAAATCTCTCTCTCCCCGCCCCCCCCTCCCAAAAAAAAAAAAAAAAAACTTTTAATTTTCAAGATGGTTGATAAAGATCATTTCCTTAGGGGAAGGATTACCAGCTTGATCTCGTCGGTTCCCTTTTTTGTCTGCGTGTGTGTAAATCCCGTAAACTCTAAAACCAGCTTCGGGCCGAGGAGTTTTGGTAAAATCCGGGGTAAGAAACCCAGCAATATGATGGGTATTATAGCCAACCGCTCATGCAGAAGCGTTGGATGAATTGAGAACGGTTACAAAACTTGTGATAGCAAGACAAAAGTATTTCATGTTGACGTGGTGGTAGGAGACTGTGAGCGGTATTAATATTTCATTCCATCGCTAACACAACCAGCTGGTGACAATAGAATTTGTGGGAAGTTCAAAGCAAATGTCAAAAAAAGTATGATTTAATTACTCGCCGCACAGCAGTTACATAGAAAAGACAGAATCAAATTTCCCAAATCCTACCCACTCTTTTTCTTCCCCCCCCCCCCCCCCCTTTCATCACGGGCCCCATATTCAAAAGCAGGTTTTCCTCTCTTCCCATCTCCACAAAAATGGACATGGGAAAGGCAACGTGCTCTAGATAAGAGATATAATATATATGTGCCCCTGCTGAACTCGCGCGTTGTGACTCGTCCGTCTCGGGCACTTCTGACATCATAGCCCCATTTTCCAACACCCAAACCGAACCTCCAATCCCATTTCGTGTTGATTGTTGCCGAGCACCAATATTCAAGCAATCGCTCTGCTGCTTCAAAGGTCACTACGCAATTATGCCGTTGGTGTGGCAATACCTCGTCCTTGATTTTTCGATCAAGGGTCTCTCTCATCTCGGTCTCCAGCTCATGTGCAATCAATACACATGGTATTTCCTAACCGAAAACGCCTGATCTGTTATAAAAGGGTTTGAATATTTTGGTCCTGCTGCCGCTCTGGCCCAACAGGGCTATCGATAAAGCCGTTGGATGTGACTAAGGATAATTAATATTCAAAAAGAAGAATTCGGGTCCGTAACGGCGAAAATAAACCCACTTTGAGAAGATATGTTTATCCACGCGGAATTTTACTCCGTTGTATCAATATTTCACCCAAGTTTACATTTCGTATACACGCCATGGTATTTACTGGTAATAACGAAAAGCACCTTACAAGAACCTATTTACTGCATCGACACACTCTTTTGCTTCTTCTCTTTTCTTTTTGGGTTCCAAATGCCAGACGAGCGAAGCTTTCAAAAGCAACTATCGATAAATTAAAATCATGGATATCATTGGCTTTGAATTCCGTACCAAGAAAAGAGATAACAAAAAGGAGATAAGTAGGAGATAAAAAAGTTGAAGCTGCTTTCTAGCGAATCCCAACCTCCTTTGTGCAAGGAAACAATAAAGTGCCCCAAAACACTCTCTGACATCTGTAGCAGTTACAGAAGATTGATCGCACAACCGACGATGGTGGATGGTCATGCTGGTCAGCGGGAGGTGATACATTTAAGACCGGGGGGCCCTTGGGGGGCGGTGACCTCAGAAATATCGACAGTGTGTTTCAGAACGCTGGGCTACGAAGCACAGGGGAAGGTTGAGGCGATCCGCAGGAGCCCCTGGTTATGCGGGCGCCTGAGGAAGCAGTGAGGAGCGAGTGGGCACTACACTAGACAGGCAGTAAGTTAGGACTTGAAGTGAGGCTTCGGTCAGCACTCCGCCCTGGGCAGAGATGAAAATGAAACCAAAAAGAAGCATGCATGGATGTTCCTTTTGCAAAGAATAATATAATAAGCTCCACTGCCTGAAAATCCAAACCACTGACTTTCTTTTGTCTCCGTCCACTAGTTATCTAAGTATCAATTTTACCCCTTTCCTGTTCAGATTTTATTCTGACCCCCTTTCAGCGCCGGATTCGACTGCAGCCGTAAAGTTCAAGCATTATGGTTTTGTAACCTAATCGATTAGTTATGCATATATCTAGTAGAAGCTACGTTAGTAGTATACGTCAAGAGGCCTAAATTGTACCTTTCGAGGAGCGCATCCAATGCCGAATCAGATCTATACGAACGAAGTACGCGGCCTTCTCTTTTCTTCTGTCAATTCCATTTTCCAAGTGGCCCGGTCCTCGAATCCCGCTGGGCAGACCATCCCAGACGTCCCAGTGTGGACGTAGATTAAACTAGACATTCATAGATAGGAGCTTCAAAACACGTTCCGTGACCGGTCCGATGTCGTGTGGAATGTCCTCCCCAGGTGTCCGGCGATATGCTGTTGGCGGGTTGGCTTTTGGCCCTGTGAGTACCGTGGGAGCTTTCACTAGTCCCCCCGGGTTGAGCACAAACAAGCATGGGGGGATGTCAATTGCCACTTTTTACAACCCTGGATGGACAGGATGCCAACGTGAGTGGTGTGAGTTGAATCTGGTTTATCAGTCGCCCTAGCCAAGCTTTTCAACCACATTGAAACTGAGCTTGGGAATCAATGCAACGTAACCAGCGGGTCCTTGGATGTTGAGTGGGTGGATAGCTCTGGCCATCGCCGAGTGCGGCTTGGCATCCTGGCTCATATTGGTTCTTGGGTTTTTTTTTTTTTTTTTTTTTTTTTTTTTTTTTTTTTTTCTTTGGGGGGGGCAGTGGTTGATTGTAGTTTATCGAATGATAGTTTCGAGTAAAAGATTTCTTTTACTTTTCTTTTTCTTCTTTTTGGTTTCTTTTGACGCACCCCGATGAGTTGCGACATTGTAAGTTTGATGCTTGCTCTATGATTGCGCAAGTTTTCAACTTCTTTTGGAAAATAATATTAATTATAGTCGTAGGCCCCTGTTCTTCAGCGAAGGAAGGTTTGGTATTTCCGAGATTTTGGTCAAGGTCAGCTACCCCCTATCTAAAACTGGGATTCTATCTTTTGCTTGCCCTGCCCTACCCCTGACAAGGTAACTTACCCACAACCTTGGCTTGACACCTTGTGCCACTTGTTTTGTTTTACTCCAGTGATATTGTCTGATGCCTGTTCAACACCATACTGAGTGCCGAGATGAAAATCCTTACCAAGAAAAGTTCACTCTTTTTTTCTCACCATTGACCCTGAAACTCACAGTCACAGTACCATAGCATTCTTACTGACAAAGCCCATTGGTTAAACAAACGTAGCAAAAATTCAAAGTCTGACACATAACATCCAGCGCGTGTATGTTCTTAACTTCCTGAGAAAATTGTCAGTCGATCCACCCTCTGATCCACACAAGCTTAAATGGGATAAACACCTTTTACACACAAGATCAGAGATTGTTCGGTCCTGCAACGTGGCTGTAGGAGCGTGATAGGCGTATGTTTCAGATGCACGCAGAGGGGGCGCAGGCTAAATTGTCAGGAATGACAAGAATGCAAAAGCGCCTGGCGATCTGCCGCCAGCCCTGATCTGATATGGAGATCATATAGACCATTCCTCTGAGACAAAGGTATGTTGTAGCGTTCTCTGCTTCGTAGGAATAATCATCAATAAATGAACGAGCAACGACGATTTCCTCAAGAGACCCTTTGTGGGGTTGGTAGTCGTGCGTTGGTAGTGGATGGCAGGGATAATGTATTCTGATAAAGATTCCCTTAACTGTATCATGGTGAAATGATCAGAGATGGATGTCAGATCAAGGTTTCCATTATGCCCCGAGAGTAAGAAAGAAAGCAAAATCGAAATTGTGGTAGCAATTATTGGAGAAGACTTTTGAACTATGACTTCAGAAGCTGTTTTGTGGCATTGGCTGGGTTGGAGGATTCCAGCTTCTGAACCGCATCCTTTAGACCCCCGCATTGATAACAGAGTTGGAGGTGCTTGGGGAGCATATGTGCCGTTTAATTGTTTAGACAGACATTGAACAAAGCGATTCCTGCCACCATGTCGGATTACTGTTCATAGGCCCTGATGGATGTAATTCGCCGTGAAGCACTTGATGCAAAAAAGGTAAATAGATACCTTGGAGCTGCTGTCGCTCTTGGGTGTATGTATGTGCATGACCGTATCAGTACTGTAACAGATCAGCTATAAATTACTAGCACAGGTAATATTTGAAAATATGTATGTATGTTTATACGGTCCATACATACATACAAGTACTTCGTAACCAGCAGCCCCTGCTGAGCCCAACCAATGAATACTTCACCTTGCTTTTTCCACCTTCACCTTCTCGCCCCAGTAAGCACAGAATAATTTAATCCTTCTCCCCGTTCGAACTTCCAAAAATGAAGCATAGAAAGGTTATATCTCATCCCCACCACAACCAACCGCCTGGTTTTCCCCATTTATTCGGGTCTGGTGGTTGGACCCACTCTCGTTTTTGGCGCCAAGTGATTCCCGGAGGAGACAGCCCCACAGCCCCACAGCCCCACAGGGCAACACACGGAAAAGCCAACTTTCCCCCCCGACCCCGACCCCCGACCGCGGCCCCATTCTTGTTCGGGCCAAGGACTTAAGGATCGCAGTTATCGCATTTTTAGCGGCATAATAAGCTTACTGTGGCTTTTCGTTTTGTGCCCCTGTTGGGCCAGTTTATCTGTTCCGAGATATCTTGGAAAATTGAAATGGCGCCCTTATATCGAGATCGAGAGGAACTAGAATAGAGCCTAAATCGATGGCGGTAGGAGCGCAACGACAAGGGAGGGCAACCATGTAACTCGGTGTGTACGTCCGGATTCAAGAAAGGGGAAACGGATTTGCCTTTCCAAGTAGGAAATTGTAGATAGTTTGTTTCCCTTGGCTGGCACGGAAGGTTTGAACGGTACTTCTCCCCTCGCTGCTACATGTCGTGTCATGCAGGCTTTGTCATTAATATGCGGCTTCGAAGGTTGCGTTCATCTTGCGCTGTTGATGTAATTGAAGGAGCCTATTGATGTCACCGAGCACCAATGAAAACTGGTCATATATTTATGATAAGCCTGTGGCAAAGCATAATACTAGGGGGGAGGGGGCTGTTCGATTGCGTGCATGCATTGGCTCCCTCTTCCACACCATCAACCCACTCCCATCTACCAGTGACAGGGATTTCCCGGCATTGATCGAGAGAATGCTGGTATGCACGCCAAGAAGAGGGCATCAATATCTTGCATTGCAGGACAGGAGGGAGCAACCACGGGAAAATATAGCATGAGAGTGAGGAGAACATGGGGAATGAGATGCACTTTTTGAATTCGAAGAAGGAGAAGTGTGTGTGTGTGTGTGTATAGATTTTACGGTTTTTACATGGATAAAATAATCATAGTTACTGTTTGGACTCACCTTTTCCAGCTAGAAAATGTTCTCCAATCTGTCCACCGCCTATGTTCATGTGCAAGAAGCCGTTTGAAACGAGCTGCTGCACTGCAAGAACCTTTTTCTGTGACGCGGAATAGCGCATTTGGAACATGTATTCATTAAAAATATAATGCACTTGGATTATTATTTTCAGAATGTGAAAACTTCTTTCAATCATCTTCAGTGAGATTAGTACCAGGAAACAAATGCAAGAATGACAGGAGAAGTTGATCATATATGCGACGTCCCATTCTGACGTCCCTAGAACCAAAAATATCAATCTTGTTATCAGCCCGATGTTCTCTTAAAAAAGCCTAGATATTGTCCCTGTTGATCTGGAACATGTGTAGAATTCGATGTATATGGATTATCACTGAAATTATATCCATGGATCTCAAAAGATGCATCCTGCTACTGATGACCCCTTCCCGCAGTTCCCGGACTCGGATCTTGACGGATCGAAAATCTCTCGCCTTTCTCGAAGACGATGGTAGATCCCCCGGACGATTGGCGACTGGGCGACTGGGCGACTGCCAGCGGTTACGTAGATATCGATCCATCGGGAAAAAATCTGCACGAGACTTCCCCTTCAGTCACAAAGGTCTGAAAGGTCCAGAGACGGACAATTCATCCATGGATGCTCATTTGGGAGTTGACATGCATTCTATCTCATCTTTCAGCAGAAAATAACATTTCGCCTCCCTCTGTGCTCCTCGCCTCAGTGCTGCTCTCCTCCTCAATCAGCATCAAGAACTTCTAGTCTCACGAACTCACCTGCATGGAATAGTCTAAAGAATTTAGGTTGATTATGTATGCCATGCTGATGCGTATGCAGGATGCCCAAAAAAAAAAAAAAAAAAAAAAAGGCGGTTTGTGCAGTTATAACCAATCAATTTTAGAAGTCTTGTCACATTCGGCTGCATTAATAATTGTAAAACCTTCCAGACCTGATTTCCTTCTGGAAAGCAAGTTTTCTCAATGCTATTATTGGCTACGTTGCCTCAAAAAGGTAAGAGATAACGCGGAATGACAGAAGTGAGCGGCAAGAGAACTCACCTGCGTAGTATCATCATCAGCCTCTCTCATTGCAAGAAATGAGCAACAAACTGCGCGTCAATCGTTTTGGAACATGACACTGTTTCTACACCCCCGGAATACAGACTGTCGCAAACCCCCATAAGAAACTGTTTCATTTGAGCTGATTGAAGGATATATTATGTGACAGGAAGATGCGACTACTTCACCGCCCGATTTTCTCGTCCCCGCAGCACCCGAACAAAAACTGGACAGACAGTCCTCCCATCCAAGATAGTTTTGAAACTAAGAAATAAGCAAAAACGAACTTTTGTCAGAATGCGGTTGGCAGCCGGTTGAGCTAGGCGCTTGGCGGGCGGTACCGGGGAGGTCAGGGTTGAGGATTGCCAACTTTCAACAGCTGGAGCGCTAAGCTGCAGGTGGATGTCAGTCGATGTTGGGGTGATTTTTCCATATTGGCTTGGGATCTGTTAGGCTGTAGGCAGTTAATTAGTTGTGGGTGGCTCTGTGATACTGAATTTTCGCTGGCATGAAAGTTGAGTTGAGCCGTTAAAACGAGGATGTATGAGCTGCCAAAAAAAAAAAAAATAAATAAATAAATAAAAATTCCTTTCTACACTACCGGAGAACATATATATCCTGGTTGACCGCTTAAAGCAAAACAAAACTGTACGCAGTAATTAAAATGAATCCTTTTGCATTTTCTCGCATCCCCATCAATTTCCTCGATTCCGCAAGGTTGAGAACTACGCGATATTCAGAAGTTGCTTTGAGCTTGCTTGGGGTCAGAAAAGGCTCCCCTCCCCCCCACACTCTGAAGAGATCAAAAATTGAGCAGATGCTCGTGACGCTAAGATCCCGCTAACATCTTTTAAATTTTGGCGATGACGACTGACAGCTGTTGCTTTTAACGACAGTTGACATGAGATGGACAGTCTCCTCAGCTGGAGAATAAGAGCGGATCTATCGAGAAAAAGCTTTGAGCCACAGAAGACGCGTGCACTGGTATTTCAATCTTTGCACACGCAAAAATGCATATTCCAGTATCAGTTGAAGCCAAGGGGTGGGAGACAGACATGCTACATCTGTCGCTTATCGATGGGTCAGGTATACTCCATACTGGAAGAGGAAATTGTTAGTTTGCTCTGTGCAGTTTAACTGTTTACTTGGTACGGAATACGGAATACCGGAATACTGCACTAGTAATTAAGTTTCCCGCTCTGTTCTTCGGGATTGCCCCTGAAACCTTCTTTTCAAACTCTCGCGTACACCCAAAAAACCTAAAACCTTATATATTCCTTGACAGAGCAACCGCCCACGTAGATAGCAGAATTTAAGATGACGCAATCAATGTATGGTGTAAGTACTCCGTACAGGAAAGGTATCGAGTCAACAGAGAGCAACGGGTGGGGGGGGGGGGGGGGGGGGGGAAAGAAAAAAAAAAAAAAAAAGGAATTTTCTCCGGGGTTTTAAAATTTCCCGGTTTTAGGCTTTTTCTTGGTATTGGGGGTTTTCCGGTTTATCCAAACCCCCCT